GTTGACACAATTTTTCGGTTCGTCAGCTACGTATTTAATTTGGCTTTCCAACATTAAAATACCACTGTTGAGTCTAATGTAGACGTAAAGCGCGTCTGGCGTACCAAATTAGAAGTTTGGTATCATGGTGAATTTTAAAACCTTAGGGTCGAAGCCACTGCTGCAGAAAGTTTCGTCCCCAAGGGTATTACCAGCCTAGTATTTAGCACTTTTGTGTTGACATGTAATATCTGTGATATGTTAATTTTCTGTAAAGATACTGATTTACTTTATAAAATGTTAAATTGTTCGAAACACTAACGTTCTATATAACAGGCATAGCTTGCCTTATCTAAATTTGGTACAATTTTTCTGAGATTTTGGTCTTTGATGTTCCTTAATTTCGTTTTTAGTTGAGCTTCCAAATGTCTTGATTTGATCGCCACCGATGAGTTTTATATAAGACTAGTATATTTGGTGAATCTTTACAACTACTAGGTCGAAACCACGTATGGTACAAGTTTTGTCCCCGTGTATATCACCTACCAAGTAGTCAGCACTTTTAAATGCACTTCAACTTTGTATTTGATTTGATCTTTTAACTGTTTTGATTCATTGATCAGTCTAATGTAGGCGAAATGTGCGTCTAGTGTTCCAAATTACGAGCCTTATATTTTTGATGAGTTTTTACAATCACTAGGTCGAAGCAGCTGCTGGTGGATGTTTCGTCCCCCGCCCCCCAGTATCACAAACACAATTGTCCGTACTTTTGTGTTGACATGGTATTTTATCAATATGTACATTTTCTGTAAATATACTGTTTATTAAATTTGAAATATCCTAAATACTAAGACTTTTCTACCTTAGGCAAAAATGACCTTAACCGTATATGTCACAACTTTTTGGAATTGTCGGTTTTTAATCCTCTCCTACACTTATTTGATTTTTGCCTTCCAACTGTTTGAGCGCCACTGATGGGTCGTTTGTAGACGAAACGCGCGACTGGTGTACCAATTATCTTGTATCTTTGAAGGTTTTTTTTACCTTTTGTTATTCCACTGACCGAAATTGGAAAGGGAGAGGGTTGCTATTTAACCCCATTACATGTTCATCTCTGTCCCAAGACAAGAACATTATCAGTTGTTGTCATAAACTATAAAATCTTACGGTTTTTGATATTTAGGGAATTTGGTGTTTATGGCATTTCTTAGAAAGACTGCTAAATTTATCAACAACTATTCTGGACTCGATGCGATTAGAGCATGACACGTAATATTGTTGATAATTAACAACTTCATGTTGACCTCTATATGTCCTGTGTTTTTTTTTGTGTCGTTGCGTTGCTGCATTGCTGTATCAATGTCTTAATATATTTCATGTATTCATTCGAATTTTTTTGTGAAGCATCTGACAAAATTTCCAAAAAGTGACAAAAAATAATGAAAAAATAACCCCAAAAAGGAATTTTTGTTAAAAGTATTGTTTGGTTTTCATCAAGGTGCAGACATGAAAGTACACTCTTCCATTTAATCATGTTTGTCCTTGATCTTTGTTTGTGGTCTAAATGTCACAAAATCGGTTATTTATAGTTTCTAGGAAGTAACTGCCTGAAGTTCAATAACAAGAGTGTTCTCCTCAGAAAAGGTTTATTCGAAATTCGATGTGTTCACGTAAACGTCAATATGATTATTTCTCCTATGTGAAAAAATATGATGACATGTTACCATATATCCAAATGTGGGATAAATCGAAAATAAGGTTCTTGGGTTCCGGAAATCTTTTTTCTGCACGCACTTAATATAAGGTCTGGTTAGTATCTTTGACATTAAACGTGAGACAACTATCCACCATGCACCCAATGAAGTATATATTAGCAAATACAGGTCACCGTACGGTCTTCATCAATGAACAAAATCCATACCGCATAGCAAGCTACAAAAGTGTGAAGTTTGTTTCAAATCCAAAGTAACATCTTTAGCTGTTACCTTGAACTCAACCTCATAGTTGATAGGAATCTTTCTCCATATAGCAAAGGTTGGTTCAAATTCCAACATATGTTCTCGATCCATTACCCCAAAATCCATTTCCTGTGCTAATTTAATTTGGTGTTTTTGTGACAGTATACCCCCATTAAAGTTCTAAAGTTAAGACTGAACTTGACAAACAGACAGAATAATTCGTAGTATGGGGGAAAACAAGATCTTATGCATTTAAATATCATGGGATTAATCACTATATTGATAACGTTCTACTAAAGAGATGATAATTTAGCTTTATTCTTTAACATCAATTGAACAAAATAGGAGGTTTAGAGCAATGAAATACTGCTGTATATAGAAGGGTAAGCAGTTTCTGCTTTACTAGTAGGGCCTGTTGTGTTGATCATGACAAGTAATGTGATACGTCACATATAATGATAGTAATAAACTAGGAAAGGAGAACAGGAGGACATGGAAGTGGCTATGAAAAATGGAGCATAACCATTGTCATCCAAGACACACTTATAAGTAGCAAACTATCTATTTAGTCAAGATCAGGATTACCATTTCAAAAGGAAAATCATATAAACTCCGGAATATGTAGGTGCTTAAATGTTATTGCATAAATCTGAAAAGTTCACAGTGGCATTGGGAGATATTTCATTGTCATAAAGATATGATGTTAACAAGTTATTACACACTGAAGAGACTTTAATTGTCAAAAAGCACATCTGGTGTCGTTAAATTGTTACGGTAAATGATATTACAGTCAATTTCTATGTGTCTGTAAAGGTATAGAGCTTCTCAAACTGTATTGTATCTGTAGTATCCAAAGGACCATTTGAAAGTAGTTAGTAGTAACAGCATTCACTTTACTTTTATGTTGATAAATCAAGTCTTCTTTCATTAAAAAGCGTTCTTACTGGAGCTATGAATGAGAGAAACAATTGCTGGCCATTTTGGAATAAATGAGTGCTTGCTCCTTTTGAAATCATTTTGCTTTACATATTAAACTATCTAAATTGATTACATGACCTATATGTACTCTGTTTATGTTTATCATTCAGATGGTTTGAATGTGGGACTCATCATCATAATTCTATGTGAAAAGAGACATTAATTCGAAATATTTGAATACTACACAACATCTTGAAAATGAAAAATTATGTACAAACAAATGTTCAACTTCTTTCATATTCATTGTCAATTTCCTTAATTCTCTACTTGAACAAGTCTTAATTTGCTTTAACATGTTTTATTATATAAGACTGAAACAGTTTCCATATTAAAACAACAGGAATATATCATGTTCATTTTTGTCAGATTACACAGTACATTTAAAATGCAGTCCCGATGTTATTATAAATATGAATGTTCTACTTAAGGTTACATTATAGCAAGGGTAGTATACAATGGGGATGCTATAACAAATAAAGGCAGCTACATCAGTTTCAACAATTAAATATAAATATTGTAAATTCAATACATTAATATGTTACCTTTCAAATATTAATCTTCTCTTGGGTGACAGAATGTTAAGCTTTTCCCTCTAACATCTCACCTTATCAGAATGTAAAGTGGATCAACATTTTTGATATCGTAATGTTTTTCTAAAAGTTAATTTCTTGGCCCAAAGGGAAATTTTGCCTTCTTAATGCAAACACCTGCTAATCTCTAAGTATGCCTAATCAATGGTGAAATAGTCTGTAAAATTTAGGTTAAAAGATTAATAATGAAATATTTTTGTTCACAAAAAAACCTCCTCATCAATGAATCAAAAGAAAATCTATGTAAATTCCATTTTTTTTATTTTGCTTCATGAGCAAAGCAATTTGCAGTATCTACAGTTGAAGACAATTGGCAGTGTAAAAACAATATAATGTTTGAAAGAAAATCCTGCATGATATGCAATAAATAATTAATTAATTTTTACATACTTTAAATCCAAAATACATTGGGTAAAAAATCGATTACTTAAATTTAACATTACTTCATAAATTAAGGTTTAACAAATAGAATATTTGAGGTAGGTTTAAAGTAGATCTAAATATTTATAACATTTTATTTAATTATTTACTCACTACTTCATAAAAAAAGTACACTTTAAATTGTTATATTTCAAATAAATTAGAATCATTTGTGTAAAATATTCATATCAAACTGTATAGTGTATATTCAAAGGATTCAAATGACACCTGCAAAAATATACCCAAATGTTCTGAATATGTATTATGACGTCTTAATCTCTCTAACAAAAGACTCTGATATCACCTACAGTAATTTCTTATACTTATATAAAGTTTCTTCATTTTTATTACGTATATATCATAAAATATTCAACAAAACTATGTTTATAATATGTTTGGATAGAAGTTAGTTAAATAATAAACTGTTGACACAGAGATTTGTCTCTCCAGTTGGCAGAAGATTTGAAAAAAAATAATCTGATGGAGAGCAACATTGCTAATTAATTCAAAGTCACTGGACCATGACCTACCAGGTAGGCCTGGAAATAATCATCAAACTGCTATGTACTGCTAGTAATGCATCTTTATAGAAAATATCATTGATCTAGTAGTTCCTATCAAACTGACTTATGCAGAAAACTTAACATTGAAAATTGATAATTAATTTCAATGTCACTGGACCATGATCTAGGGGCCAGGGCCTCGAAATAGCTGTCAAACTGTTATATACTGATAGTAATGCATCTTTATAGAAAATATCATTGATCTATCACAAGTAGTTCCTATCAAACTATATTAAGCAGAAAACTTGACATTGAAAATTGCTAATTTATTCAAAGTCACTGGACCATGACTTAGGGAGTAGGGCCTCAAAATAGTCATCAAACTAATATGTACTGATAATAATGCAACTTTATACAAAATATTATTGATCTATCACAAGTAGTTCCTATCAAACTCACTTAAGCAGAAAACTTAACAATTGTTGACGCCACCCTACATCACAGCCGGAAAAGCAACATCTATGTTGCACTTTTGTCGCATGCGAGACAAAAATGAAAACATAATTCTCAGATAGGATTTTGACATGTTTTTACAATTATATTTTTTCATCATGGTGAAAGATTTTGCAAATTACATTTTGGCAATTAGCTTAAAATTCAATAATACACAAACTAACACAAATGAGATACCCTAAATGCTGAACACGGATAAAATACACTAAATGCTGAACACAGATAAAGTACAATTTATATACTAGACTAAATGTCTGTTTAGGTAAACACAAAAGCTACCAAAGGTCACTCAAGTTTCAAATGTAGACTGCTATGACTCAAATGTTGAAATGTCTTGTACTTAACAATTAAATTCTAATAAATGTCAATGATATACCCCACTCACTGATGTTAAAACTGCACAAACTCTAACCAATAAATATTCGAGTGAAACTTGAGTTAAATGATTGTACAAAAGAAAAGTGTAAGAGCTATACCAGTATTTTATTGTTGTTCTGTGTTTCTTTTTCTCATGAAAAAGGACACTTAAAAATATAAAACATAAACACATAGAATGTCCACAAGTAAAAGGAATATCAACAAAAATCTTCATTATTTATTCTTGGGACAGCAAATCTGTATTTTCATGCTGTTTGTTCCATACAATGAGGGCTGAAAACTTACTATATAACTATATCACATATCACATCACAAATCATCATCAGTATTCCATTACTAGGTAATAAATCTAATCAGAAAACACCTCTTCATAACTTACAGTACCAGAAATGAAAACCTTAAACAGAAAGATTCAATTGCTTATATGTCAGTTAAGTTGACCTCTGGTCATTTGTAGTGTTTGACTCTTTTCTTTCATCTGAAGTTTGTACACTTTGATCAGCTGTATCTTCGGATTCTAACATCTCTAGCCATGGCTGGTTAGCTGCGACAGGTTCTGACATCTCTAGCCATGGCTGGTTAGCTGCAACAGGTTCTGACACATTGTTAGATGCCTGGTTTGGTTGACTGGTATTGCTAGCACCAGATTCTACATTTGGGTTACTGGTTTTGGGTCCTGCTGTTCTACATGTGTTGTACGAGCCACACCCAGTACATTTTGATCCCAACACATGGAAAACTACATTACTTTCCTGTAAATAGAAAATATTTTCATCACATAAGGAGTAAATTTACTCAATCAAAAAGTTTTCCGACTATCCTGATATTTTAATCCAGATTTTGTTAACTTAGGACAATGGATAAAATCTGAGGGTTTACATATTTCTTTACCTTATGTGCCACAAATTGTAGTTGGATAAGACTTCTAGTAATATTTCAACCTGCAAGATGTTTGTGTTATTATAGACAGTATGCTTCAATCCTTCAATGCTATGGGGATATCAATAAATGTCTTACTTTTTCCCCATATTCTATGTAGATTTTGACTTGGAAAAAAAAGAACACACCAAAAAAACCCATCCTACTTGATAAGATGGATAATACTTCTTATCTGAAAATGTTTAATTATTTCTATAATGTCTACATTATCCTCAAATATGTATGTACTGAATTTGAAAACTAAAAAGTATTTTATTAAATAACACCTCTCACATATTTATAATACATTAACCTGTCAGATATCAGTATTCATTTGAATTTTGTCTTACTTATTTACTTTAGGGCTTAAGACTTCTTGAATTTCACAAGAACCACAAATTCAACATGGTTATGAAATCATAGTGACATCACAACTGACCTTACTGAACTGTGCCCTGATTATATCACCCTATTCATATATCATATAAACTCATATAATTTTGAAAGGATTGAGGATAACTGCTCTGATCATATATATAGATCTTTGTACATAATTTTCTTAATCATTATATACTTCTCCTTGTTTTAAGTACTACTGTAAATTCAGAAATTATTATGTTTTTATTAATGCAAAAATGCAACAGTATCAGGTTTCCAATAATAAAAACTCACATTCAAATTTCAGTTGTGAATTTCCTTTATATTGCATCACATTAATTAGATTTCATTTTTGTTAGTGGTCAAGGATTCTTGATAATAATAAATGCACATATTAATTTCTGAATTTACAGCAAGTCATAGGTAATTTTATGGTATGGGATTGCTCATTGTTAAAGGCTATCCAGTGACCTATAGTTGCTTACATCACCGTCATTCCATCTCTGGTTGATAGTTGTCTCATTGGCAATCATTTCAATCTCATTTTTATAATGATGCATATCTATTTTGGACAAACCTTATGACAATCTCTACATAAAATCTGTATATGATAATCTTTATACTCTTCTGGCATCTGACAGTTAGCAACTTCTTCATCTAAATTCTCCCATACTTCTTTCATGTTCAACATTGATTCACCACATATTGGACAAGCGTAATTACTAAAATTAACATAAAATTTAAACAATGAATATTTAGTCTACTGATATACTGAACATGTTTATTAATAAAGTCTTTTTATTAAAACAAATAACATTCAATCAAATTGAGCTCAATCACCTTTAGAAATCAAAGTGTTTGCAAGCAACGAAGGGGTGAAGACTGGTTTATATATGTATAGTGAAATTGAAGGTAAACATTACTTTATTCACAAAGAAAATTATTTAGGCAATTTTTTTTAATTCAGTATTTCACTTTGTCCATAAAATGACAGGAACAAAGGACATTATCATATATGTAATCAGAATATAATATATCATAGAACATTACAAGTTGCAACTGCAGATGAGTATAGACCAAGCCTTATGTTAATGTACTACAAAGCTCACAGTATGTGAAGCTATCATTTTAAGTCTGTTTCAGATAATAAATAACACTGGTGTTTACTTTGAATACAGGACAACAGAAATTGTCTAATACTTGTGTGTATTTTTAATGTTTGATTAATAGTAGTAGATATATTCACTAATAGTACAATTAACACATTAAAGCCAAAGCATGGGAGCGTCTTAAAGTCAATTGTCGTCTACTCAAAGTTTTTTTTTTAGCTTGAAGTTTTCCATCCTTATTTATTTCATTTAAACTCTTCAGATAATGCTACCAACAATTTAGATTTAAAAACTACACTTTTAATTCAATGACACAGACAAAAGAAATTATTAACAAGTCAAATGTTTGTTAAAAATTGTTAAAGTCAAAGTTTCAGATAAACTGTTTATCATAAGGCATTCAATATTATCTTTTATAGTACAGGCATTTAAGACGAAAACATTCTTAGTTTCATGATGTATTTATATACAGGAGACAACATATTACACTTACCCTGTTTTTATCATCTCTCTGAAGCAGGTTCTACAAAATAAAAATGTTTAGATATATATAAGGTGATATTTTGTACATGTATTTATAAATCATCAAACATTCCCAATAGTTATGCTCATATCAAGACTGTTATTATTATAAATGATATATTGCTACTTCATTCATTTATTCCTTAGAATTAAAGCAGAATTCTAGACATATGTTATATAAATGATACAGTTTGTCGTTAAAATTAGGATACTTTTATCTCTGAATTCAAATATTTAAATCAAAACATGAATTCATAATACATGTATCTAGGAAATTCAAAATATTAACTGGAAATTTCTTGACTCATATACATTTGTGATATATAAATCATTTTCTCAATAATTATACACCTATCTGATTTTTATTTAGATTGAGATTTCTGTTCTTAAAATAACCTCATGATTTTTGTTTTGATTACATGATCAGAGTGTTTAAATTAACCCTTGAATAACCATTTGAAAAAGCAGAACTAGTTAAAATATGAATGAATGAATTTGTTACCTGTGAATTAGATGTCAACATTGAAGTTAGTTATATATCATGTTAATAAGATGTCCACATTAAGGTAAGCTATATTACCTGTGAATAAGATGTCCACATTGAGGTTAGTTATATTACCTGTGTATAAGATGTCCACATTAAGGTAAGTTATATTACCTGTGAATAAGATGTCCACATTAAGGTTAGTTATATTACCTGTGAATAAGATGTCCACATTAAGGTTATTTATATTCCATGTGAATAAGATGTCCACATTGAAGTTAGTTATATTACCTGTGAATAAGATGTCAACATTAAGGTTAGTTATATTACCTGTGTATAAGATGTCCACATTGAGGTTAGTTATATTACCTGTGAATAAGATGTCCACATTGAGGTTAGTTATATTACCTGTGAATAAGATGTCCACATTAAAGTTAGTTATATTACCTGTGAATAAGATGTCCACATTGAGGTTAGTTATATTACCTGTGAATAAGATGTCCACATTGAGGTTAGTTATATTACCTGTGAATAAGATGTCCACATTGAGGTTAGTTATATTACCTGTGAATAAGATGTCCACATTGAGGTTAGTTATATTACCTGTGAATAAAATATCCACATTGAGGTTAGTTATATTACCTGTGAATAAGATGTCAACATTAAGGTTAGTTATATTACCTGTGAATAAGATGTCCACATTGAGGTTAGTTATATTACCTGTGTATAAGATGTCCACGTTAAAGGTTAGTTATATTACCTGTGTATAAGATGTCCAAATTGAGGTAAGTTATATTACCTGTGAATAAGATGTCCACGTTAAAGTTAGTTATATTACCTGTGAATAAGATGTCCACATTGAGGTTAGTTATATTACCTGTGAATAAAATGTCCACCTTGAGGTTAGTTATATTACCCGTGTATAAGATGTCCACATTAAGGTAAGTTATATTACCCGTGAACAAGATGTCCACATTGAGGTTAGTTATATTACCCGTGAATAAAATGTCCACCTTGAGGTTAGTTATATTACCCGTGTATAAGATGTCCACATTATGTTAAGTTATATTACCCGTGAATAAGATGTCCACATTGAGGTTAGTTATATTACCCGTGAATAAGATGTCCACATTAAGGTTAGTTATATTACCCGTGAATAAGATGTCCACATTAAGGTAATTTATATTACCTGTGAATAAGATGTCCACATTGAGGTTAGTTATATTACCTGTGAATAAGATGTCCATATTAAAGTTAGTTATATTACCCGTGTATAAGATGTCCACATTGAGGTAAGTTATATAACCTGTGAATAAGATGTCCACATTAAGGTTAGTTATATTACCTGTGTATAAGATGTTCACATTAAGGTAAGTTATATTACCTGTGAATAAGATGTCCACATTAAGGTAAGTTATATTACATGTGAATAAGATGTCCACATTGAGGTTAGTTATATTACCTGTGAATAAGATGTCCACATTGAGGTTAGTTATATTACCTGTGAATAAGATGTCCACATTGAGGTTAGTTATATTACCTGTGTATAAGATGTCCACATTGAGGTTAGTTATATTACCTGTCTATAAGATGTCCACATTGAGGTTAGTTATATTACCTGTGAATAAGATGTCCACATTGAGGTAAGCTATATTACCAATGAATAAGATGTCCACATGAAGGTAAGCTATATTACCTGTGTATAAGATGTCCACACTGAGGTATATGAGCCTCTATTCTAGATGTGTGAAGATCTTCTAAACATACTGCACAATTAGAACGTGAAGACTTTTCTATACACTACAAATAAAAATCTATACTTATTATAGTGTTGAAACATTCAGATATATTCAAATTATAGTCTTTTTTTCTTCAATTCAATACGTTCAGTTGGCTTTTGTGCACTAATTTATTATGGGCATTGCAGTAGATCATGAGAGCATGTTTATCTTACACTTTTCTTGACATTTATTTACAAATTAAAGCTACAAAATCATTACAGATGCCTACATTAGATTGTAAGAAGTCATGACAACATAATTATCAAATAAAGTACTTTGGCCTGTTTGCAGCAATCATTGATACAGTATTATATTGATGGTATAGTAGCTGTGATTCTATTGACAGTAATATAAATATCATAAAATAAAGTGGTTTTGTTCAGGATTGATTTTCATTTTTCATTTTAGTTGTATAATTTTGTTATCCACTTCTATGAATAATAGGTGGAACTTTGACTACCCCATTTATAAATAAGTTCAATTACATCATAGATCTGTGTGATCTTGATAAAAATATTGAATTTTGTGAGTGGTTGTTTGCGTCAAAATAATTTTTTTTTTTCTCTTTAGGAATTTGGTAAGATCTTTGGTTGTCTGTTGAACTCATTCACAACTTATCTGGACTCTAGGAGACTTGCCATATGTTTAGGTGATTTTTCTTGACTGAAGGTGGGACCTTTTTTGGTAAAGCTAACGTTTTTGAGTTGCTAATCATTGACACTTATCCAACATCTCCTATAATTCATATGTTTTGTACATCTCCTCCATTTTTCAGAAATTCACAAGAGTCCAGGACTTAAACTTATCTTTTTTAAGACCATATTACCATGAGTATGTACAAAAAATATAATTAGTGTACAGCTCATACCAATTTCTCTGCAGAGCATGATCAACAGTAACTTTAAGTATCTAAAATTCCTCTGAAACTACAATAAACTGTTATCACAGAGATATGTCTCGCCTTTTTGTAATTTTGATAATGCAAATGTTGAAATTAAAATAGCAATACTTTAACATGTAAGTTATGCAAATATTCAAAGTCGATGAACCATGACTGAAGGTACATGGCTAAACAATCTCCATGAAATGAGATGTGCCAATGCTAATACAACTGCATACCAAATACCATTGACTTATTATAAGTCGTTCCCTTTAAACAAACCTAAACACAAACATTAACTTGTAAACTATGTAAAAGTTTCAAAGTCAATGAACCATGATCAGGGGTGGGGCTATATAATCTCCGTGGAAACGATACTTGCAAATGCCAATACATTTGCATACCAAATATCATTGACTTAACATTAGCAGTTCATCTTAAACTGATCTAATCACAAACTAATACATGTAAACTAAGCAAAAGTTTCAAAGTCAATAGACCATGGCTGAGGGGGCGGGGCCAAATATTCTCCATGGAAATGAGATGTGCTAATGCTTATACAACTGAACACCAATTAACATTGGCCTACCACTAATGGTTCCCCTTGAACTGACCTAATCACAAACTAATACATGTTAACTTAGCAAAATTTTCAAAGTCTATAGACCATGACTAAGGGGGCGGGGCCAAATAATCTCCATGGAAATGAGATATGCCAATGCTTATACAACTGCATACCAAATATCATTGACCTACCACTAGTGGTTCCCCATAAATTGACCTAATCACAAACTAATACATGTAAACTATGAAAAGTTTCAAAGTCGATAGACCTTGACTGAGGGGGCGGGGCCAAATAATCTCCATGGTAATGAGATGTGCCAATGCTAATACAACTGCATACCAAATATCATTGACCTACCACTAGTGGTTCACCATGAACTAGACCTAATCACAAACTAATACATTGTTGACGCTGCCGCCGCCATCGCCGCCGACACCGGAAACAGCATACCTATGTATCGCTTTTTGACCCCGTCAAGGCGAGACAAAAAATTGAAGTATTCCTTCGAAATGATTTTTCTATTCAGTGAAAATTATATTCTTCCTGTTGATTTTAAAAAAAAATTCTGCCAAACAATAAAAGGGTTACAGTACACATACTGTTGAATATTACTAATCAGAAAACATGTATTCACGACCATATGTGTGATAATCCTATCCATTAGTGATAAAAATTGCAATGAAAACTTTTATTATACTACAACAGCTTGAAATAAATGCTACCAAGCAGGAAAATTGCTAACTGAAATTTGTTTATACTCCTTTGAATAAGGTAGTCTTAATTAGTATAACAAACAAACATTTGCTAGCTCTTAAAAGCATGTTTGTTATTAATTTATAAAAAAAGCCACTAGTAAAATCCAAAGAATGAAAATAGTGAGAGAAAAATAGATGTTTAATAAAGTAACCAACAGTAAACCAATCAATATTCAAGATGCAATTCAAGTTCCTTCTGCAAAGATCACAAATCTTTTATTACACCCTAGATAACACATGTTAGTGATCTTCTAAAAAAATTCTTTTATTGAAATGTATCTTGAATATTTCAGTGAATAATATCTGATTAAAACAAGTATTCTGTGAGTATTGCATGGCAATACATAGTCCCCTACCTGTTACAAATTCATTGTAATGGAACGAAATTCTAACTTGATCTATAACTTGTCATGGTGTAAACTACATAAAAATATCAAGTCAAAATCTTCAAGCATGACGGAAAAAACTGTTGAAAACGTGATTATTTAAGTGAATTTTCTATGTCCAAAGACCATAACTCTGCACAAAATTATCAGACTGGAACAAAATTCCAACTTGATCTGTAACTTGTCATGATAAAACTATATACTAATTATCAAATCAATATCTTCAAGAATGACAAACAAACCTACCACTAAATTCTTCAAACAATTTACCAAAGAAAAGGAAAAAAATCCCAAATGTCATTTTGTCTTTTAAAAATCTTTTAAAAAATGAGTTATTTCCCTTTGAACAGAAATCTACTAATTAATAAGTATTTCATCAAAATTTAATTCTAGGGAAAGGGCTTTAACTGAACAAAGAGAAAAGCTAAAATCGTGAAAATTGAACTTGACCTGTAACTTGTCATGATAAATCAATAAACCAAATATCAAATCAATATCTTCAAGCACGAAGAAAAAAAGTCTGGAAAACTGATTTGCCGGACTGACAGATAGACAGACAGACGGATGGAGTGCAAACCTAAAGTCCCCTTCGACTTCGTCGGTAGGGGACTAATAACCTTTTTTAAGATGGAAACCCCGATTCTGAAATTTGTAATCAAGATTTCAATTTTGTATATGGTCCATTATTTGAAGCCATTTTCAGTGAAGTCTTACTTGCAATGAAAAACATATAGATGTCATTTAGGCAGGGACAATATTTTTAAAATAATCTATTCAGCTAGGTTGACTAACATTTGCCTAGGTGAATTATCATTAACTGAATAAAGCTTTGATTGTGATATAAAATCTTAATTTTTAGCAAGTCTTATGGTTAAGAAAGCTGTGTGTAACACAAGTTTATATCATAAAACACTGTAATAAAATGATCAAATCATAATACCTATTTGAGAAACACACACATTTGGCATTCACACATGGAAAGCACCTTACCATTGCTTTCTGATTATGGCATCATGTATAATATTAACTTACCTCTAATGAGATAATCCTGAGGTTAAATTGTATGTAATAATTACTATACAATGTGTGTAATAATAAGTATAGAATACCCAATACCCAATATTTCTATGTCTCCCCAAATGTGTCACATGTGAAATATGCATTTTCATTTCTGTTGTTTACAGTTTAGAAAGTGCTCTAAATTAGAAAATAAGGGGAGGTAACTCCATAAGAGTCAATATCCATTCTACTGTTATTTTGCATAAAGATAAAAGACCTATAATATCTGACTTAAGAAGCACATAATAACAGTAAGATGCCTACTCCAGTTTCTTTTAGTATATTTTAAAACTACGAAATTTTAACAAATCACTTAATTATAATTTAAGTTTCATATTGCTAGGCAGCCAACCATATCTATTACCTTGTGCTGATCTTTCAAGTCTAATGCCAGGCACATGTCACATGTCTCACAGTGAAAAAAATTCTCCCTGCCACCAACTCTATATAATAAAACAAATACTCATTAATTATGTACAATAATTCTCCCTGCCACCAACTCTATATAATAACAAATACTCATTAATTATGTACAATAATTCTCCCTGCCACCAACTCTATATAATAAAACAAATACTCATTATGTACAATAATTCTCCCTGCCACCAACTCTATATAATAAAACAAATACTCAGTAATTATGTATAAAAAATTAGAACTTCGGTTTTAATGCATATGTATGAAATTCTAACAGACCTATTTATTATCAAATTTGGCTTTGACACATGATAGGCTTAATGTTTATTAGCTATTTCTATCCATTGAGATTAAAACAATACAGTAACATGGTCTATCATTCATACTTGTATCTAAGAACATTAAAAATATATTTCAATGAGACAGGAACTAAATAAACACATTAAAAAAGGAAAAAAACACTTTTGTTCTATTAATTTCATTTTATTCTAATTCACTATTGATTTAGCAAACAAGAGTGCATACGATGATGTCTCGCCTGCTTTACTGACCATTGATTTTATGCTGAAAGTCTTAAAGATAAAGGTTTTACTAAAAGCATCACATAAACTTAAACATTTTTAAAGATGTATGACAATGAGGTCAAGGTCAGATAAAACCTGTCAGGTAGACATATGCACCTTACAATTTTTTTATACACCAAATATAGATGACCTATTGCTTAAGGTAATTGAAAAACAGACCTATACACAAAAACTTAACATTGACCAATGAACCATGAAAATGAGGTCAAAGGTCACATGCTGCCTGCCAGACAGACATGTACACCTTACAATCATTCCATACACCACATATAGTTGACCTCAGGGCTCACGCTACCATGCGACTGGGGCGACCAAGTCGCTTTCCTGGCCGCTACTTCGCTTTGCCCGACCTTCAAAATCGAAATCTAGTCACCCTGTTGTTTACGATACTCGCTTTCAGTCGCTTTCATCATCAGCAAGATTCAATTTTTACCAAGTCCATGAAACAGCAATTTTTCAGTAAAAAGTAAAGAAATTCAAAGACATAAACGATTTATTTTCTTCAGAAAAGAGGTTAAAGCATTGAGTTTAAAGTTGGTTGCATGTTATTTCATAAAAACAATTTTTTATCACTTCCAGTACTTGTTAGAGAGCGTACATCAAATCATTCTAATTTTCGGCAAAATAAGTTTGTTACTTCATAAGAACGTGATGAAATTTGCCTGAAGTAAATTTGTTATCCATGTATTGCATGTAAAAACGTCATATTCCTTTCCAAATAGCGTGTCAAACATCGTTTATTTTTGTAAATTTTTCTTCGTCCGCCATTGAAATATTTGTACTAAAATACTGATCGGAACCAGACCTGCTATGACCGAAATCCATATATTACGATAATGACTACTGAAGAATGAATTGCACAACTGACAGAGGAATATTGATCCCAAAAGGAAAAATTACGCATTCCATGCGCATTAACATACTTTTGGTTAGATCTACTTGATTAATGTATATATTTCCATGTATATGAATTGTTTCAATTTATTAATTAAAATTGCTCAACTCTGGGACTACTATACTATGTCCAAGCTTAACTGTGTTAAATTTATATATTTTTTAAATGAGAATTTTAACCACTGAATTTCACAAACATAACAGAGTACATTTTAAATTGAAATAACAACTTTCTTTTCCTTTTTGATATAAAAAAAATCTTTTTTATTATTGCTAGATATTAAACTGGTTTTTTTTCTGACAAGAGGACTAATATGATTGTGCAACTAGATATGATAAAATTAAACAACTTTGAATTTGAACTGTTACTTTTATTGTACTCCCAGGTACAAATTGAACAATACAAAAAAACAGATAAATATGGCCCTTTGTATTATAGTAAAACCAAACATTGTAGCACTGCGAGCGAACGAGCACTTCTCTTTCAAATCTCACCACTTCTCCCTCTCAGTTTCAAAAAAGAGAAGTCCCTTCTCCCTATGATTCTGAAGTAGTGTGAGCCCTGGTTGACCTATTGCTTCTAGTTCTTGAAAAACAGATCAAAACAAACATTTAACATTGACCAATGAACCATGAAAACGAGGTCAAGGTCAGATGAAACCTGCCAGACTGACATGTACCCATAACAATCATTCCATACACCACATATAGTTGACCTACTGCATATATTATTTGAGAAACGTACCTAAACTCAAACATTTAACCTTGATCACTTTTCCATGAAATGAGGTCGAGGTCAAGTGAACCCTGTCTGATAGACATGTAGACATTGCAAGGAACCTATATACCAAATATAGTTATCCTATTGCTCGTAATAAGTGAGAAATTCACATGACAAAAAGTCGCTGAACCATGAAAATGAGGTCAAGGACAATGGACATATGACAGACAGAGGATAGTAATGCATATGTCTTGCATACTGCCACTTTCTTCGCAGGTGAGTCAACAACGTTTTGAAAAACAAATCATATTGCTTGTAATTTTTTTTAAGAAAAGCCAGAGTTTGTCATTCTCTGGTAAGTAAAAGCTGCAGTGTTCTAGTCCCATGGGCAAGTAAAAAATAATAGTTGAAGACATTGAAAATACCTAATCTAGCCTCACATATTTCTCTTTTTATCAATAAATCATCCTTTTAATCAGGCAAGTGGTAAGTTGTCAAATATGTTTATGTCTAATCCTGAAAGGGCTCTTCCTAGAAAATGAAGTAGCCTTTCAATAAAAATATTGAACATGACAAAAGCAGGGAAAATAAAATAAATCAAAAGTAAATCTTACCTACAAAGGCCACAACCTTTACAGTGAAACTGTTTCTTATCTTCATCATCATAAAGGGAGCAAAATGAACAGAAATATTTACCAAACACTATATCACATTTAGTACACTTCTCAAGTTTCTACAAAATAAATGTATACAAATTATACATATGAGAGTGCTTTACCTAGAGCTTTCTTAAATCAACCTATACAAAAGGTAATTTACCACTGCAAAAGGAGTAGGTTCAAAATTGTTCAATATTGGCCCTAAAAGTTCAGTAACTGTTTGGTAAAATGTGTATTGAACCCATATTCATCATTCTAAATCAAACTTATTTTGGTCAAAGGTTGTGGCACATATTTAAACAGGAAATGACATGGGGGAACGTGTGAAATACAATACCTTTTAAGCTTTCAACATTATCAAACATGATTACCATGATTATTCAAAATAAACTGTAAAAAGTAAAAAAAGTCTTAACTACATGTACTTGATATGCATTTAATATAAAGGCAGTAGCTATTTGTCCAGCTAACCAGACAAATAGCATTTTTAGCTATTTGTCAGACTAACCGGACAAATAGCATTTTTAGCTATTAGTCCGGCTAACTAGACGAATAGCATTTTTAGATAGCTGTCCGGCTAACCGGACAAAAAGTCAGTCCGATTGTCTCACCATCGTTGGAAACCATAAGACACACATAGATGTGTCATCACTGCAATTTACATTGAGTGTTTGCCACTTAAACTCTGACATGAAATCTCATCTAATTCAATGAAGTATGACAGGTTAGTCTTCTTTTGGTGTTGCTTAATATAAAATGTATTTTTTACATAAAGTTATAATATGGTAGGTCACTTGGTATGAACTATAGTTATATATCACATCTATATTTAGTTACTATGACTTTTTTCTTTTAAATTACCTTAAATGGAATGCTGTATTGCTCAAACTGATACATTTTTTATGTAATTGAAGTTCACAACTCAGTTAAAATGTAATTTAAGTCAGTGAGGCATGAAATTTATTGAGGAGCGGATGTTGTATGCCTGTAAATGCATCAAATTGTATGTGAATCATTTAGTATCGTTAATGGAATATAGCTATTTGGACTATGTGCTGCTCATTGTTGTTTATTTTTGTTTGTACATCTGTAGTCTGAGGTTGGTGTGGTCTGTTGTGCAGTCCAATCATTTTATTTTGGTAGTTTATGTCATCCTGTTTATATATTATTTGATTGTGATTTCCAACTTGAAAAAAAAACTTTTTCCCCCCTAACCTTACCTACCCTTATTTCAAGTGTCTACCATAAGTTGTTTTGGTCATTTTTTAACAAGCACTATTAAAGTTATACCGTTTCTCCTGATCAAACCAAAATAAGATTTTGCCATATTGGCGAAATCCAGCTCGATCCCTGATTCAAATTTCAAATGACTTCAAATTCATGAAACTGCATGTGTATAATGTTAACTTGAAATATAGACAATACCTCTTGTACTTCTTCACATTTTGCACAAACCACTTTCTTTACTGAATGTCTGTCTAACACATGGTTCTCGTTCTCATCATGACAAATACGACAGAAATAATCTCGGTTACAGCAAGGTGCCTATAAAATATATATCAACATTTTCAATCAAGAAATTTTCAACTTATATACATGTCCACCATAGAATACAAAATGGTGACTTTAGATGTCGATTTTGGTATTTTGACCAGTTGGGTTGCTGTCTCATCAGTGATGCTTACATGTACCTCAAAACTAAAGCTAAACTGAAGAATTCCAGGTTTATTGGTAGAATTATTATTCCAAATAAAAAATTCTTGTTAAACCAAATGTTTGCATAAAACATATGATTAAAACTCTAGAACTTAGTGTAAAAACTGTTTATAATTGAAATAGCTTTTTTTATGGAAAAAATATTAATTATTTTCAAACAAGGTAAAATTAGCAGCATGTCTAATTGAATGAACCATGATTTATTTCAAGATCTTCAGATAACTGTTTGTTCTGGGCAATGATAATTTTTTTCTGTGAAGGCCATAAGCATGATAAGGTGATCTATAGTTGTTAAACTTCTACATTATTTGGTTGGTGGAGAGTTGTCTCATTGGCAATCATAGCTTACTATGTGGTACTATGGGTTTTGTTTATTGTTGATGGCCGTACTGTGACCTATAGTTGTTAATTTCTATGTCATTAAGTCCCTGTTGGAGAGTTGTTTCATTAGCAATCATACCACATCTTATTTTTATACATGTTATATGGTTGCAATGTAAACATCTTTTTAATGGAATTGCTCCAATAACAGCAAAGTCAGTTAATATTGTTGTTAGGTTGCTGTCTTATACCCACATCTCCTTATATTCATACCAATTAAAAACAGACATCCAAAAATGAGAATAGTCATTACTTGAACAAAGACTAATGAAACAATAAACTAGATGTGTCAGCATGACTTGAATGTATCACAAATTGCAGTAAGTTGGTCAATCAGAACAAAATGCAAACTTGGGATGTATGTATTGTAACCAGTGCTCTGGGTAGCCTTAAATAAAAGGGTGTCACGCCCTTGGTGTCTTTAGCCGCGTTCTTCCACCCTGACACCCCGTCCCAAAATTCCCTTGTGCTGTTTACTATGACAACATTAATATATTGCCAGTCCAGGGGGTCTGCATTAGAGAGGCTAAATATTTACAAAAGCGATTGAAGATTGCTTTACTATCTGACTATGCATAATGTTTATAAAATTCTTTCTAATTTAAAACAACGTATACAATGATATACATGTGTGGAAGTGTGCCAAGCTTGCTGCATTCAGAAAGGCTTGGCAAAAGACATAAAGCTTTTTTCAAAGTCAGTATAACCAAGACAATTACACACATAAGCTCTGGAGAGCTTTTAAAACCGACAAAACAAAGCACATCCAACATTACATAGTATTAGTGATACAAATACATATCAAGCAGGCACAGTGACACATACAATCAACCATAGAAAGCAAGAGTTCATATCATGCATACTTAAACAAAACATAAGTTCAATCAAGTAGCTAAAACACACACGTTTCGGCTATATCCTGATTTTTTCCCCAACGGGGTAGAATGTCGTATCAGCATTTCAAGCAATGAATAATCATGATGGAGTAATATTTTGAATAAAGGAAAGATTTCAGTGGTCCGGTTTTATATTAAACAAGTATATGAATCACTGTTCTGAGAAAATATACCATTCTGTAATTTACTTTGAAACATGTCATTTACTATTTTTATGAATTCATAAAGAGTGCATGTCTAATATAAAGCTGTTCCTGAAATTTATGGGGTAGACTCAGGAACAGTTAAATAAGACAGTGTTTTAAGAAATTTACGGGGTAGAATCAGGAACAGTTATATAAGACAGTGTTTTAAGAAATTTATGGGGTAGATTCAGGAACAGTTATATAAGACAGTGTTTTAAGAAATTTACAGGGTAGATTCAGGAACAGTTATATAAGACAGTGTTTTAAGTAATTTACAGGGTAGAATCAGGAACAACTATATAAGACAGTGTTTTAAAAAAGAACGAGGATATTTCGTTGTAAAATAAATATTTAATTTATTTTCTTTCACACATATATATCCAAGCGTCTGAAAGGGTTTTCTTTGGGTAATATTCAGGAAAAAAAGGGGCTAGGATTTTTTTGGAGAAAATGAAAAAATAATGTCAATTAGAATATAGTAGGGGGAATAATCAGGACCAGTAAAAGAGAAATTGAAAATGGATCAAATTGCAGAATGTATGGGGAAGAAGCACGACCAGTATAAATATACTAAAAATAGATAATAAAAGGGTTGTTTGTGGAAAATTGCTGTTAAAACAAAGAAAGTAGATAAAATATAAGGGGAAAGAATCAGGACCAGTAAAAGAGATAATGCAAAAGGATCAAATCTAATGTCTTGCTGAAGAATCACGACCAATTAAAAAGCACAAATACATAATGAAAAACGTATTTTGGAAAGATTCCAGAGCAGCAAAATCGATACAGAAAATAGCCGAATAAAATTAGATATAATGAGGGGGAGGATGGGGTGGCAATTGGGACCAGTGAATAAATTAATAAAATGGTTTAATTTGGAAATGGTTTTACTCATATTTCCACTCTTTAAAATAAACTGTAAGAGGTAAAACGAGAACCCCAAAAAAGCTTGTGGAGACTAAAAAGGCCTACAGATTTAATTTGCATAGGACGGGAAAAGGAAATGCTATTTCACTTTTTTTTTAATTACCATGATTACATTTTGTTAAATAGATAAAAAATTCAGATTAAGCATACCCCTTTTTCTGTCATACGTACTGTTTAACTTATGTTTCAGTTCCAGTTTGTATAGATAATCACTAGTATATAAATATCATTAGCATTTTTGTTGTTGTTGTTTTGGGTGTTTTCAAATAGTTTGGATTAGAGTTTCACTGAAGTATTTATCAAGTTCATGAAGTTGTCAGAATGTACATTCTGTGCTGCAGTAAAATATATATTCTATCAATAATATTCCCACTCTTTACAAGGTAGTTACGGGTGAAATCAGCAAGATAAACTTTGAAAATAAATCCAGATATAGAGAACACAAAAAGATGTAATTTGTATATGACCGAAAAAAAAAATCTTTAGACTATTTCTCATGCTTCCACTCTGTAGAAGTTAATATGAACAAGGTCTTATTTTTTTAAAAATAAACCTTTTCTCAGTATACGTAATGATTTATACGTAGTTCATTCGTTACAAAATAAAATCACAGGCACAATGTTAAGATATATATCAGAAACAGCTATTCAGACTTTGTTTTAAACACGATCAGTAAAATAAAAACATAAAAAAATATTTGGAAAAGAATCTAGAGCAGTAGAATCGACGCCAGCGAAAAAACTATGAAAATTGTTGGAAAATGATCACTTTGTTGTTTCAACCTTGATTCTAAGAATATTCCTTTTTCCGTCATACGTATATTTATTTCACTCATATTTCAACTCTAAAAACAAACCGAGGTAAAATGAGGACCTGAAAACAGCTCATGGCGAGAAAGAAGGCCTACAGATTTATTTTGCATAAGACGAAAAAGGAAATACTATTTCATGAATAAAACTACACCATTTTCTCTTTGTTGTTTAAAATTTGAGACAAAGCATTCCATTTTTCAGTCTTAAGTATAAGGAATCAACTATATAAACAGGATTTTAGGTAATTTACAGGGTAGAATCAGGAACAACTATATAAGACAGTGTTCTTAGTAATTTACAGGTTGAATCAGGAACAACTATATAAGACAGTGTTTTAAGAAATTTATGGGGTAGAATCAGGAACAACTATACAAGACAGTTTTTTAAGAAATTTACGGGGTAGAATCAGGAACAGTTATATACATGTAAGACAGTGTTTTAAGAAATTCACGGGGTAGAAATAGGAACAACTACGGAAGTGTCACCTATATTCGTGGATATAAGACTATTCAAACGGAATGCGGTAAAACTAATAAACAGCCATTTGTTTTTTATGTCGATAATGTTATCTTAGAACTTCATTAAAATAATACAAGTTAGTTTGATTCTTTCCGTTTCATAGTTTCTTTGATATGACCTACATTTCTAGTGTAAACAAATCGGCATTGGATGCCAAGTATGTCACCTATTTTCTTGGGAAAAGTTCATTCTAAAAATAACACAAGAAGAACACAGAGTATGGAAGCCCAGTGGTGAGCATTAAATTGTAATTTTATACAAGCATATTTTTGTACATGTTCAGTTCAGTAAAAATAAAAACATTGTTTTTAAAGATCAAGTATTTAATTTTAATTTTTTGGAGACTGAAAACCTTACAAAAATAAAAAATGGAAACACCAAAAAAATTTAAAAAAATATTTTTAACTTTTAAAAAATTATTCAAATTATAAGTAACAAAATAAAATCAAAAGTTGCTAATAACAATTATTTTTACTTACCATTAATCAAAAAAAATGTGCTTAAAGATACAGTTCAGTCAATTTATTTCCTTTGGAATCATGATTAATTTCTTTCCACAGAAGATAAAGTTCATATTTATAAAATCAAGCAAATGTTCACAACTAAAAAGTGTTCCAACTGTTAATAAAGAACTGGCAACAGTAAATGTCTTTAAATATAAATAACTGGAAACAGTCAAACAATTAACAAATGTATATCATTATCATTATTCTTCAGTTTCTTTCTGTTTGCAGGGTAAGCCATGACATGGGCAGTAAAATTTATCTGACCTGCGTAGGATGGAGACATTACAGCAAAATTTAAGATGAGTCCAATGATCACATTGTAGAAATTCACATTTGGCCCATTGTGTCAATACAATTGGCTGCCACATGTTGCAAACACAACACAATGTGTTATCATCATCTTGATCGTCTTCATCTGTAATTGAACCGTCAGAAACAACTATGTTATGTAGTCCTGATGGACCTGGCTGTTGTGAATCTTGTTGGTTCTGCTTTAATTTCTTGTTTGTGGTTGTTGAACTGGAAGAAGATGATGAACCATTTTGTTTACGCTTAGTTGTTGTTTTTGTTTATTGTTTGTTTTAGACTTGGTCCTTGACTTTGACTGTACAATGTACTCCTTTATTTCTTGAAGTGTCTCTGGTTCTGTAATTGCCTTTCCTGCTACTATCTTGTAGATTGAACGTCTTTCCTGTTTTGGTGGATTTTTCTTGGACAAATTTGTTGATTTTGCAGTGAAGAGAGTTGTATTTTCATCTGGTTTTTCGTCAGTAATTTTTTCAGCTACATAAATCTGAATGTTTTCATTTTCCTGGTTTGATAATATAGGTTCTGTGTTGGCATTGATCTCTGAATAGGACATTAAATTAACTGGTTCAGTTGTTTCATTTTCAATGGCAGGGATATCATCAACTTTGGTATTTTCCTCTGATTGGCTCTGTTTATGAATAGCATCAGAAATAGAAAACAAGGACTGGTCTATAGCATCTCTATCTAACGGGTAAATACCAGATTTACGGAAAGCAGACTGCAAATTTGAAGGAGAAAGAGCAGAATTGTAGGATTTGCAGGCAAGCCACAATAGAGCATAAGTTGTATTTGTTAATTACTGCTGAATGGGTACGTTGGAATTTATGACATTCTGAACTGTAGATTCTTGTGAAAGGCCCAAAACAACCAACATCCATGGGCTGAAGAACATGGCTGGTGTGAGGAGGCAAAACATACAAGATAATTTTTTTCTCTACTATGTATATAAGACAGTGTTCTAACTACAAAGTAATTTACGGGGTAGAATCAGGAACAACTATATAAGACAGTGTTTATGTAATTTACAGGGTAGAATCAGGATCTACTTTATACCGTATAGCGGGTTATTTTCGCGGGTGTAAAATATCGCGATTTAGGGGCAACAAAGTATACGAAAAATATTGGCGGTTTTTATTTTGGTGGATTCTCAAATCCCAATTAAATATTTTGGCGGATACTGAAATTGTTGCAGTTAAAAAGTTGTAAAACTTGACAAGCAAGTGTCTATTGTTATGGTAAAATAATTAGAATACCGATGACTTAGATATTTGTTACAGGTATTGAACGTCTTGTAAATTTTCCAGTTTATTAGTTACGAAATTGACCGGACCTTTGATGTACTTACTAATTAGGTTACAAAATTATCATGAGTGTTTACAACTCTTGCAAAGTTTGACACTAATTAATAAGGGCAATTATCTGATCAGAGTACCTTACACTCTTTTTCTAATTGACATTTATTAATAAGGGTATACACACCTGACAGTCATTTTATAAAATACATGTATGTACAATGCCCTTTGGCATTTATGTTGTTAAAACTAACATATACCGCTATTAACTTGCCGACCGGGAAAAATAGATCATTCACAAAACACTTTAGCCATTAGAAAGTACCCAACGTATGCAAAATTTTTGCGGAATTTATTTTCGCGATTTTCGTTTATCCGCCAAAATAAGCGAAAATAAACACCCCGCGAAAACAACCGGCTATACGGTAAGACAGTGTTTTATGTAATTTAAGGTTCATCATAACAAATGGACAAAAATGGCTGTATTTACACCTCAAAAGCTAATCTGAGTAAAATACTAACCTGTGCAGTTTGAAAAGTTTTAAGGCCTGGCATCCACTAGATATATAAAAGTTAAATGCATTTTGTGTTTCAGAGACATACATGTGAACCTCCCGACGGTAGTACAATAATCCCGTTTTCAGGGGTCTCCTCCCGACCTCCCGTTGAAGAGAAAAAAATCCCGTGTATGAAATTTTTCATTAATGAAAAATTTCTGCCCAACATACAAAATGTATCATCTGGTGTAACTGACATTACCTGAAGTTATATTTTACCTGTAAATCAATTAACATGCATAATCATATGGCTTCACTTGTCAGCTTGGGTGTCAAACATACTGGTAATCAACGATTTTTACCTCAGGCTAACTGACGTTGTGTAATAAAAACTTTGTGTATTTATTGGGTTACTTCCCTTGATTTATCCTGTTTTAAGTTACTTTCCTTTAAATAATGAAAATTTTTAAAAGAATATAAATAAAATAAAAATTGAACAAATAATCATTAAAGGATGGTAATTAAATGATTTTAAATGTCTTAGGACAAATACTAGTTTGAATGATAGTTTTTATATAAATTTCAATTTAAGCCTTGAAAGGAAGTATAGAACCCTCAAATAATTTTCAAAATTATTATTTTTTTATTTGTCCTAAGACATTTAAAATCATTTTTAAAATTACCATCCTTTAATGATTATTTGTTCAATTTATATTTTTGAATAACCCTTGTTACTAGTTTGAAACCGACCGTGCAAGGGCTGTATAGCCAGTCAAGGTCGTTAAAAACTTCCATTTGTTGTAGTTTGAATGAGTTTTTGAATATGCAAATAAGCACTAATTGCCATTGCAGATAGCTAAACAAATGTTCTGATTGCAATGATTGTTCTATAGATTAATGATATAAAAGATATGAATTCAAAAATTTAAAGAACATACTAAAAAAAAAATAATATTAGATTGAACAAGTAGAATGTAAAGATAGAGACACTTGATAAGTACAAGGGTACTATAAACATAATACATTCGGATGGAAAGTTGACACACTTTAAAAGACAATTTTTACAGCACAGGGTTACATTTACGACAAAATTTATGTCGATTAAAAACCTCCTGATCTGAGTCCTAATCTCCTGACCAAAATTTCCCAATCTCCTGATCTGAGTTTCACAGTCCATCAGATGTATGCAGAGAGATAAAAAAAAAATTTGATTTTGATGGGCATTTTTTTCGTTCCTGCAGAAGGTGTAAAAATAAACTAAGTTGTGAAAAACTTTGAGATGCTCCTTCTCAGGTAACAACTGAATTTCATTGTATTGATTGCCCTTGATTGGCATAAACCTCCAATAGAAGGACAATAGATATTTACACAACAATAGGTGAGTTAAAGGGTGTAACTGAGTGGACAGTATCAAATGTAATTTAGGTGTTTGATTATTTTTACACCTTCTACAGGAACAAAAAAAATGCCCATCAAAATCCAAAAAAGATTTTATCTTTCTGAAACACAAAATGCATTAAACTTTTATATATCTAGTGGATGCCAGGCCTTAAAACTTTTTAAACTGCACAGATTAGTCTGTACTCAGGGTATTTTTGAGGTGTAAATACAGCCATATTTGTTCATTTGTTATGATGAACCTTAAGGGGTAGAAATTAGAATGAGGATCAACTATAAAAAGGTGTTTTAATAAATTTACGGGGTAGAATCAGGAACAACTATATAAGACACTGTTTTAGCATGCACTTATGGGGTAAAACATGGGGCCAACTTTTACTTGTGGAATTCTGTTTGACTTGCAGTCTCACTTACAAGAAGCTTGCACTTTCTCCTGTAGTGCTGACAACCAAGATCATCAATAGGCTTTGGGGGCTCGTCGGTGGCCATTGTCTTTTACAAATCAATAATTCCTAAATATGAGACGGACACATTTTGTTTTCTTCAAAAGCTAATACCGGAACCTTGAAATTGAAGTCCGATTTTAAGTTTAGACATTAATAGCGTCGACTGCAATCTTAATCTTTTAAGCGGTTTTTAAAATGATACAGTATTTCGACCCAAATCTTCGGCCCGACACCCAATCCATTCCATTTTTAATTACACCATATGACCCATTTCTTTGAAAAATTTACACCAAAGCGTTATTATAAATCAAAATCAAATCAAAATTTTATTATTTCAATCAGGGCCCCACAGGGGGCATTTACACTAACGGGTTCGTACTAACATGAGCAACACGACGGGTGCCACATGGAGCAGGATCTGCTTACCCTTCCGGTGGGGTTCGTGTTGCTCATTCTTTGGTTTTCTATGTTGTTTTTTTTTTGTACTGTTTCTTTTTTAGCCATGGCGTTGTCAGTTTATTTTCGACTTATGAGTTTGAATCATATCCAGAAATCAACCAGGGGCGGGTCCAGGTGAGGGCGTAATGGGCGTACGCCCCCCCCCCCTTTAAAAAAAAACAAAAAAACTATCGTAATCTGCTTATATTGTCATTGAAGGATCGTCTAAATGGTCTGCTTCTTCTTTATGTTCACAGAGACATTAAACTCGATTATGATAAAATAATTGACGATTACGCCATGAGAAATCCGCGTAAAATGGTTCTAATGAATCCACTCTAGTCTCACCATTCATTGAAAATGAGAGTCCGTCAGTATTTCTGTGTTCATTTTAGGTTTTGCGTTAAGGTACATTTATACTAGTAACATGTATATTTGGTATAGCATTTTTACATCCCATCTGGATAGCCTTTGGTATTATCTTATTGTTTTAATATCCATTAGTGAGTAACTAAGTGACATTGACCTACATTTTGTCATGAAGTTCAAGCACCATATTTATTTATGTACCATATACCACCTATCGGAACTAGACAGTAACATGATTGCTTTAATTTAGTCAATGATTTGTAGTACAATGACGTCAATTTTTCATATTCAATCATGTATTCCACATTAAAGCCTACAATATTTAGAACGAAAGAACTTTATACTTCAGTGTTTGATTGTCTTTTTCATGTGTGTCGTTCATGAAACCAGAACTTAATCTAAAATAGGGAGATATTTATCAGTCTGGCTACTTCATAATTTGATGCTAAATTGTTGAAATCCAGGAGCTTCCCCATGGACCCTATACCAGGGCAACCGTAATTTCGCCTCCCGTTCATAAAATCCTGGCCTAGGACTATTGAAATGTTAAGTAACGCCTTATACCCTAGAATTTGGAATTTCTCGTTATTGGTATACTGCAGCAGCTGTTAAGATCCATCCAATCATTTTAATATACCATAGACAATTAATGGAGAGAATTCGGCATAAAAAATGTCAAACCCTGGCACTTTATATATAAATATAAAATATATATGCTCCAAGTCAGGAACCGTTCATACACAAGAATTGCGGACAGCTCAACTGGATGGCTTTATCAGCTACCACACAGAGAACCGTAATCATTGAAAAAATTTTAACGTTATTGTCTATGGGGTATTATGACCACTAGCTAAATAAACGAAAACTATGTCTATTTAATAAATCTCATATAAAATTAATAAATTATAGAGATCTCACCAATTTTTTAGCTTTGAAATGGTATAATAAAATCCACTTTATCTTGATATTTACTGTTGTCCCTATCATGTTGAACGTCGGGTTCTCTTCTGTTTGAGATATGTCAAATTACGAGGTATACATGTTTTATAAAAAAATCATATTATTTTTTTTTATTGTAAATCAAATTTAAAAAATTATACAGTATTGGCAAATAATTTTCCTATCAAATGGTATAAGAATCGTCATTTTAAAATAACGTTTACTGTTGTCCCTAAGCATTTGAAAGTGAAACTTCATTATTTATGAATACGACGTATATTCATTCAACTAAGATTGACCGTATTGAAAGACAAATTGGTCTTGTTATTTAGTTTAATTCTCATTTTTATGATGCGAACTCCTTTTCTAATTACATCTATCATTTTAAATATCTAGTTAGGTTTTAAACAATATATTAATTTCTGTTATACCAAAGAGTTCTTTAAACATCAATATTTTAAAAGTAGTGTGGTTTTGTTGACATCTTGAAGAAAAATATGCAAAATTTTTTTTTCTTTTTTTTTTAAAGGCTCTGTCTAATTAATCTTATTTTGATTTGAGTAATTATATTATTATTATCAAATATTTGAATGCACAATTGCATGAGTGTATTATTGAAAAAAAATGTCTACGAAATCTGAAAAAAAGTAAATTGAAATAGAAAAGAGATGGCAACGTGCAATTTTAAAACATACAAAATTTTATACAAGTTTTGTATAATGAAAAGGAAGCCCATTTAATTACTTTTAGGGAATATTATTCTTATCATTATAAGAAATGATCAAAGAAGTAAATGCAAGTATCATTAGTGACATTTGTGCATTTCACAATTATTTTATGTTTTTTAGCCAAAAAAAATGGTCATAATACCCCATAGACAATAACGTTAAAATTTTTTCAATGATTACGGTTCTCTGTGTGGTAGCTGATAAAGCCATCCAGTTGAGCTGTCCGCAATTCTTGTGTATGAACGGTTCCTGACTTGGAGCATATATATTTTATATTTATATATAAAGTGCCAGGGTTTGACATTTTTTATGCCGAATTCTCTCCATTAATTGTCTATGGTATATTAAAATGATTGGATGGATCTTAACAGCTGCTGCAGTAGGCCAATAACGAGAAATTCCAAATTCTAGGGTATAAGGCGTTACTTAACATTTCAATAGTCCTAGGCCAGGATTTTATGAACGGGAGGCGAAATTACGGTTGCCCTGGTAGAGGGTCCATGGGAAGCTCAGAAGCTCTTGGATTTCAACAATTTAGCATCCAATTATGAAGTAACCAGACAGATAAATATCTCTCTATTTTAGATTAAGTTCTGGTTTCGTTGAACGACATACATATGATACAAGACAAACAAACACTGAAGTATAAAGTTCTTCCGTTCTAAATATTGTAGGCTTTAATGTGGAATACATGATTGAATATGAAAAAACGACGTCATTGTACTACAGTACTAAATTAAAGCAATCATGTCACTGTCTAGTTCCGATAGGTGGTATGTGGCACATAAATAAATATGGTGCTTGAACTTCATGGCAAAATGTAGGTTAATGTCACTTAGTTACTCACTAATGGATATTGAAACAATAAGATACTACCAAAGGCTATCCAGATGGGAAGTAAAAATGCTATACCAAATATATATGTTACTAGTATAAATGTACCTTAACGCAAAACCTAAAATGAACACAGAAATACTGACGGACTCTCATTTTCAATGAATGGTTAGACTAGAGTGGATTCATTAGAACCATTTTCAGAGTATGTGTTTAATTAATGAATATGATAAATTGCCATAGTCAATACCGTGAATATTAGCAGATTACGATAGTTTTTTTTTACAGGTGTACGCCCATTACGCCCACACCTGGACCCGCCCCTGCATGTCCAGGATGATTTTCAAACAAGTTTACTATTTTTTTTGTTCTCATAATTGTGACTTTATTTTCAGCGTGACCATTTTTTCTGTGACTTTTTTATCCGTGCGTCTTTTTTCCGTGAATTTTTACCTGTGACTTTTTTTCCTACACTTTTTAAACCCACATCAAGAAATTTAAAAAGAATCATTTCAGAGCCAGCTCATGATTTAAAAAACGAAAACAACCAATTATTTCATGCGTCCGAAGCGCTTCTCTGGATTTACCTTCATCAGGAACGCTCAAAGCCGAATGTTTGAAAGCCGAGAATGTATAAGAACCGAAACATTTGAAGAGCTATATATATGACCAAAAAAAAATACCTAAAAATTAGCCAAATCCATCTAAGGCCAACTTTGCCTGAGGGAGTTGAAACCTTAGTTTCTTTATAATTTCAAAATTTATAAACAGACAACTTGTAACTCCGGGGAAGCAGATAGTTGATAGATACAAAACTTATATCGCATGATTCAAAATGAAACAGAAAGTTTCAAACTTAGAAAAAGAGAAACTAAGAGAAACTTAATCAATAAAAATGTGACAGACGGACGGACATAGACAATGACAATATATTTCGTCAGGAAGTAAATATGATAGGCCGACTAAAATTAGGGGCGAGCTGGTTTACTGTGTTTGTAAATGACACCTTTCAAGCGTTTACACGACGCCGTAAACCTAAAAGCCGCACAACTTTCACTTTGGGGCAAAAGTTATAAAAGAAATGGATAATTCTGATGAAACAGCTTGTCTTTTCCCTCCTCCTGATCGACTCCGTAACGAATCGCATGTTAAATGCATGGATGACTACAAGGAAATGTATAAGCGATCAGTGGAAGACCCCGAAGGTTTCTGGGGAGATATTGCAAAGCAATTTTATTGGGTATCGCCTCCCACAGGAAAATTTGTAGATTATAATTTTGACTGTAGAAAAGGTCGCATATCTATAAAGTGGATGGAGGGTGCTAAAACAAACATTTGCTTCAATGCTATAGACCGTCATGTCAATAATGGACAAGGAGACAAGGTTGCTTTCTTCTGGTTGGTAGTATATCCTCTGTAGTAGTGCATATTATTTCATGATATTTTTCTTAATTAGATATACAATTTTTTGGGAAATGGTATGTTCAACAGCGGCAGCCTCCGCCAACAAACTAATGGGCAAGTGTGTATGTTTTCATGGTTTTGGGACTAGTATATAAATTATAGACCTTATCGCTATTTGGGAATCTGCAACGATTGACTTGAGAATCTGCGACACTTGAACTATAGACGTCATACAACAATCACTTTTCCATTGTGGCGTCAAACATTTTCTTTTGTGATGTCAAAATTTTCCGGGGAACCTTTGTGATGTCCAGTAATGGCAGACAAATAGCGACAAGGTGTATAGTCCCAGGTATCTATACTACCAAAATAACGAGGTCCAATTTCTTCTTCTTCCGAATACGGGAGTAGACTCCTAGGTAGGAGTGTAAAACTTCCCGGAAAATTTGTTAGCCGGCATGACGTAAAAACAACAAATCAAAGAATTCAACTCTATATGTAACTAAGATCGGACAATGGTGTTGATTAAAAATTACACCATTCCAGGCCCTTTTGTTTTCCGCATAATTAATACTATATAATTAACAAGTTCTGGGTCTAATCCGATACCGATACCAATAGTATATATCACCTGTTACCTGTTAACTTATCTGTACGTTCCGCCTCTGTCAGGCGCACCACCAAACGGTGTATTTGGGATTTGCTATATACAAGAGTCATAATCACACCTAAACTTCGCATTATACAGGGATCGACACTACTAAATTCAATCATTGCCACATGTAGTTTCTGGTGATAGCGAGAAAACCAGGACGGGTTCAAACAGAAAGATTATAAAAGCAGATAAAAATGTGCACATTATAATCAGCATGACTTTATCAGATGACAATACGAATGCTAAAAACCCAGGCTAAAAATAAGGTGTAGGTACTTAAATTCAGTCACGGACCCGTGATGTTGCAGGTATGTTCTAGTGTTGTAAAAAAATCACGTATTTTAATTTTCTTCTTGTTTTGACGAATATACATGTATTCTTTCATAATCACCATATGACATAAACATGATATACAGGTTCAAGACGAGATTTTTTAATATATGTTAAAATACATGTACAGAATACACTAACAAGGTCAACAACTTGCTTCTTCAGAAAAAATACTGGTGATAGTGCAGGGTAAAAAACTTCATAAACGATTGGTTGTACCTTCTCATACTTTACACTGTTCAATAGATCTATATTTTTATTCAAAAATGAGCCATAAATGAAAATTTAGGCCAAGAAACAAAAAAGTTCTGGTCTATAAGTTTTGAAAAATATCCTAGATGGTTGAAATTGAACACTTGTTGGGACACACCTGCTTCATGTGTTCTCCCATGAATAATCTTAAGCCTCTTCAAATGAATGAATGAAATGAATCAAGAGATCTGATTTATCTAATTTTGAATGGCAAAATCGAAATGAAACTTTGAAAAATTAGACCAATCAGATCTCTTATTCATAACTCATCTAAAATTAACTTATCAGTAATGTCTGGAACTAGTTTAAAATATGCGCTGATGGTTTTTAAATGAGTTATGAACCTTTGAAATGTAATTTATTATTAAATCATATTGAGCACTCTCACACCCTCATATCTTGTCAGATTTTTATGAAATTTATATCAAAGGTTTATAATAGCAAGGTCTTGGAACAGTGCTGACCAATTATTTTTAAAGGAGTTATGACTCTTGTAAATAAAAATTATATGGAAAGCAACATTGTTAGCTATATCATATCTACATTTCTTGGACATTAATAAAAAAAAGTAAAAAAAAAAACCAAATTTTTGAAGTTATTGCCCTTAGCCAAATTGAAATATATATATAAAAGTCTAAAGATTTGTGCAACAGTACTAATATAAGATGGTTTTATACAAAGATTAACATCATCTTCGTTTATTATCTTATAATAGTACCGTTGTGCAAATCTTTAGACTTTTATAATTTTTTCCTTATCTGCACAGTATCGCCTATTCTTGATGATCTGGTACATATTAAATTTGCTGGTAGGTCCTTTTTATAGACTTCTATATATATATATATATATATATATATTAAGAACATCCGTTGCTCGACCTGCTAGTCAAATGCGTTTTGTTAAAATATACTTTTTCACTTTTTTGGTCTTTTGGAAAATGTTGTTTGTGCTGTATTTACCCCTCTACCAAGAAATTTGTTTTGCATGCACACGTATAAAAAATGCGGTTTTTATTCAACGTAACCAGTGTTTTCTGTTTGGTGTAAAATTAATATTAAGATCCATTTTGTACTGGTGATCAATTTATTTGGCAATCGCCAATGGCAGTCAGCAGGGTTTAAGAACATCCGTTGTTCGACCTGTTAGTCAAATGCGTTTTGTTAACATATACTTTTTCACTATATTGGTCTTTTGGAAAATGTTGTTTGTGCTGTTTTTAGACCCCTCTACCAAGAAATTTGTTTTACATGCACACGTATAAAAATTGTGATTTTTATCCAACGCAATCATAGGTTTGAACGTTGTTTTCAATTTAGACTTGTTTATATTTTTTCCGTTTGGGCTTGTATTATATTCTTTGGGTTTATATGATCCGTTCATCCTATTTCAATTCTTTAAAATTCAAGAGTCTATCCTAAATTGAGGTAAAATATACGGCCTTCCAAATACCATTTCGATCCCTAACATCATTGAAGAGACATTAATTGTCGAAATCCGGATATGGTGTACAAATTTTTGCACCTCATGTTTGTGGTATACCATCTTTTCCACAAGTTTATTGTTTTCTGTTTGGTATTAAATTAATATTAAGATCCATTTTGTACTGGTGATCAATTTATTTGGCAATCGCCAATGGCAGTCAGCAGGGTTTAAGAACATCCATTGTTCGGCCTGTTAGTCAAATGCGTTTTGTTAAAATATACTTTTTTTCACTATTTTGGTCTTTTGGAAAATGTTGTGTGTGCTGTTTTTAGACCCCTCTACCAAGAAATTTGTTTTACATGCACACGTATAAAAATTGCGGTTTTTATCCAACGCAATCATAGGTTTGAACGTTGTTTTCAATTTAGACTTGTTTCTATATATACATGTATATATATGCAATCAAGGGGGACAATGGAACACAATTCTATAAAAATAACTACCGGTATATTGTTATTGTTTAAAATTCTATTTTATCTCAATTTTCAAGATTGTCAAACTTTAGCCATTAAACTTAATGCAATTAGATATTATGAAAAAGTCATAGAACTGATGGTTGTACAATGTAAACATATGCTCCTATCTGTATCAACAGATACATGTATCTTTTCCAAAGATACACCTTTTTACTTATGTAAGTAGAACATAACCTCCAAATTGGTTTATCTGTACCTGTGTATAAATATTATCCACAATGATAAAATTGCTTATTGATTGAAGGCTATAAATAACTTGTTTAAAATTCTTATTCTTTGATCGTTTGGTGAATGCTGTCTTATGGGCAAATCATACCAATCGCCTTATTTTTATACATGAAATAGGTAGAAAAGTGCATATGCATTTTCACAAATATTATCTGAAATCACTGGGCCCATGCTGGGGGCCACTACACCACACTCAGCCATATAAGCCACATTTTTTATTTATATACATTTTGCAGGGAAGGAAATGACCCAGCTGACCATGATTCAGGACATATTACCTACTTGCAGCTAAAAGATAAAATCTGCAAGTTTGCTAATATTTTAAAGCAATGTGGTGAGTAATATTGAATAGAAAATTTCTCATTAAAAACCATTTCAGATTATAAATATTCAGAAAATATTGACAGCTACCTGAAACAAGTATGGTCACTCAGGCAGAATTATAAAAAAAAATGAAACTGTAGTTTTGTATTTGTGCAAACATGGCAATTATTGAATGTCATCAAGATGTATATATTAAGTCAGTTTGAAGTTAGTCCTCCTGACTGTTGTGTTATTGTTGATGATTATATTGGTAAAGTTCTTCATACATGTAGTGTAAGTCATGGATCATGCATAGAAACAAATCAAATGCCATTTGTTTTATCTGACATTTTGTGCTGGAAGATCTTAGATGGGGAAACACATTTACAATGTAACTCTTTTTTTATCTATATAATTAGCATATAATATGTAGAGACAACAACATCTGGGTTACCGCAAGGTGATAGTTTTATTGAGTCTACATGTTTCGCCACTTACGGTGGCGTCTTCAGGACAATTTAAACATAGAAAACAAATACTGAAGTACATAAAATGCGGTGCATATGGGGTTACAAAGGTTAACAAGACGTAACGTCACAATAATTGATTTGACAACTTTAAAATGAAAGTGAAAGTAAAAGTTAATAATGCATTGTCAGTGTCTTTTCCAAAATGGACAACACCTCACAGGACATTCCGTACCATTCCAAAAGGCTTCACTCGGAAAGAGGTACTACTTCCAATTGCGTCGGGAATGTTGTAAGATGTATGGTAGTCGCACATGTAGGGCATGGTGGAAGTTGTGGTGAATCGGAAAAGCTGGTAGAGTAATTATTGTGACGTTACGTCTTGTTAACCTTTGTAACCCCATATGCACCGCATTTTATGTACTTCAGTATTTGTTTTCTATGTTTAAATTGTCCTGAAGACGCCACCGTAAGTGGCGAAACATGTAGACTCAATAAAACTATCACCTTGCGGTAACCCAGATGTTGTTGTCTCTACATATTATATTTCCATGAGGTTTTAAGACAACCGCAGCATACTTCGGTATCCATCTTGGTTACTCTACCAGCTTTTCCGTTAGAAGGTGTTGGTTCACTCGTCACAAATTATTTATTTTTCTGTGAACCCCTGCATCCGCACACGATCCACCTTAGCCGTCTTGCGTTGTAGTTACAACCGTTAGCCTCATGTCTACCGACCAGTTCCATTCTACCACCAACCTCACTGAAGAAACCGCCCATACCTCGAAGAAAAGGAAAACCCGCGAAAAAGAAGACCACCGCAAAACGTACTGAACCGCAGAACCGCACGATTATTGTTGAAATTAACTTGCAACATGGATAGTGTACCACAACCGCAAAATGTAACCAATTCACCACAACTTCCACCATGCCCTACATGTGCGACTACCATACATCTTACAACATTCCCGACGCAATTGGAAGTAGTACCTCTTTCCGAGTGAAGCCTTTTGGAATGGTACGGAATGTCCTGTGAGGTGTTGTCCATTTTGGAAAAGACACTGACAATGCATTATTAACTTTTACTTTCACTTTCATTTTAAAGTTGTCAAATCAATTATTGTGACGTTACGTCTTGTTAACCTTTGTAACCCCATATGCACCGCATTTTATGTACTTCAGTATTTGTTTTCTATGTTTAAATTGTCCTGAAGACGCCACCGTAAGTGGCGAAACATGTAGACTCAATAAAACTATCACCTTGCGGTAACCCAGATGTTGTTGTCTCTACATATTATATTTCCATGAGGTTTTAAGACAACCGCAGCATACTTCGGTATCCATCTTGGTTACTCTACCAGCTTTTCCGTTAGAAGGTGTTGGTTCACTCGTCACAAATTATTTATTTTTCTGTGAACCCCTGCAACCGCACACGATCCACCTTAGCCGTCCTGCGTTGTAGTTACAACCGTTAGCCTCATGTCTACCGACCAGTTCCATTCTACCACCAACCTCACTGAAGAAACCGCCCATACCTCGAAGAAAAGGAAAACCCGCGAAAAAGAAGACCACCGCAAAACGTACTGAACCGCAGAACCGCACGATTATTGTTGAAATTAACTTGCAACATGGATAGTGTACCACAACCGCAAAATGTAACCAATTCACCACAACTTCCACCATGCCCTACATGTGCGACTACCATACATCTTACAACATTCCCGACGCAATTGGAAGTAGTACCTCTTTCCGAGTGAAGCCTTTTGGAATGGTACGGAATGTCCTGTGAGGTGTTGTCCATTTTGGAAAAGACACTGACAATGCATTATTAACTTTTACTTTCACTTTCATTTTAAAGTTGTCAAATCAATTATTGTGACGTTACGTCTTGTTAACCTTTGTAACCCCATATGCACCGCATTTTATGTACTTCAGTATTTGTTTTCTATGTTTAAATTGTCCTGAAGACGCCACCGTAAGTGGCGAAACATGTAGACTCAATAAAACTATCACCTTGCGGTAACCCAGATGTTGTTGTCTCTACATATTATATTTCCATGAGGTTTTAAGACAACCGCAGCATACTTCGGTATCCATCTTGGTTACTCTACCAGCTTTTCCGTTAGAAGGTGTTGGTTCACTCGTCACAAATTATTTATTTTTCTGTGAACCCCTGCATCCGCACACGATCCACCTTAGCCGTCCTGCGTTGTAGTTACAACCGTTAGCCTCATGTCTACCGACCAGTTCCATTCTACCACCAACCTCACTGAAGAAACCGCCCATACCTCGAAGAAAAGGAAAACCCGCGAAAAAGAAGACCACCGCAAAACGTACTGAACCGCAGAACCGCACGATTATTGTTGAAATAAACTTGCAACATGGATAGTGTACCACAACCGCAAAATGTAACCAATTCACCACAACTTCCACCATGCCCTACATGTGCGACTACCATACATCTTACAACATTCCCGACGCAATTGGAAGTAGTACCTCTTTCCGAGTGAAGCCTTTTGGAATGGTACGGAATGTCCTGTGAGGTGTTGTCCATTTTGGAAAAGACACTGACAATGCATTATTAACTTTTACTTTCACTTTCATTTTAAAGTTGTCAAATCAATTATTGTGACGTTACGTCTTGTTAACCTTTGTAACCCCATATGCACCGCATTTTATGTACTTCAGTATTTGTTTTCTATGTTTAAATTGTCCTGAAGACGCCACCGTAAGTGGCGAAACATGTAGACTCAATAAAACTATCACCTTGCGGTAACCCAGATGTTGTTGTCTCTACATATTATATTTCCATGAGGTTTTAAGACAACCGCAGCATACTTCGGTATCCATCTTGGTTACTCTACCAGCTTTTCCGTTAGAAGGTGTTGGTTCACTCGTCACAAATTATTTATTTTTCTGTGAACCCCTGCATCCGCACACGATCCACCTTAGCCGTCCTGCGTTGTAGTTACAACCGTTAGCCTCATGTCTACCGACCAGTTCCATTCTACCACCAACCTCACTGAAGAAACCGCCCATACCTCGAAGAAAAGGAAAACCCGCGAAAAAGAAGACCACCGCAAAACGTACTGAACCGCAGAACCGCACGATTATTGTTGAAATAAACTTGCAACATGGATAGTGTACCACAACCGCAAAATGTAACCAATTCACCACAACTTCCACCATGCCCTACATGTGCGACTACCATACATCTTACAACATTCCCGACGCAATTGGAAGTAGTACCTCTTTCCGAGTGAAGCCTTTTGGAATGGTACGGAATGTCCTGTGAGGTGTTGTCCATTTTGGAAAAGACACTGACAATGCATTATTAACTTTTACTTTCACTTTCATTTTAAAGTTGTCAAATCAATTATTGTGACGTTACGTCTTGTTAACCTTTGTAACCCCATATGCACCGCATTTTATGTACTTCAGTATTTGTTTTCTATGTTTAAATTGTCCTGAAGACGCCACCGTAAGTGGCGAAACATGTAGACTCAATAAAACTATCACCTTGCGGTAACCCAGATGTTGTTGTCTCTACATATTATATTTCCATGAGGTTTTAAGACAACCGCAGCATACTTCGGTATCCATCTTGGTTACTCTACCAGCTTTTCCGTTAGAAGGTGTTGGTTCACTCGTCACAAATTATTTATTTTTCTGTGAACCCCTGCATCCGCACACGATCCACCTTAGCCGTCCTGCGTTGTAGTTACAACCGTTAGCCTCATGTCTACCGACCAGTTCCATTCTACCACCAACCTCACTGAAGAAACCGCCCATACCTCGAAGAAAAGGAAAACCCGCGAAAAAGAAGACCACCGCAAAACGTACTGAACCGCAGAACCGCACGATTATTGTTGAAATAAACTTGCAACATGGATAGTGTACCACAACCGCAAAATGTAACCAATTCACCACAACTTCCACCATGCCCTACATGTGCGACTACCATACATCTTACAACATTCCCGACGCAATTGGAAGTAGTACCTCTTTCCGAGTGAAGCCTTTTGGAATGGTACGGAATGTCCTGTGAGGTGTTGTCCATTTTGGAAAAGACACTGACAATGCATTATTAACTTTTACTTTCACTTTCATTTTAAAGTTGTCAAATCAATTATTGTGACGTTACGTCTTGTTAACCTTTGTAACCCCATATGCACCGCATTTTATGTACTTCAGTATTTGTTTTCTATGTTTAAATTGTCCTGAAGACGCCACCGTAAGTGGCGAAACATGTAGACTCAATAAAACTATCACCTTGCGGTAACCCAGATGTTGTTGTCTCTACATATTATATTTCCATGAGGTTTTAAGACAACCGCAGCATACTTCGGTATCCATCTTGGTTACTCTACCAGCTTTTCCGTTAGAAGGTGTTGGTTCACTCGTCACAAATTATTTATTTTTCTGTGAACCCCTGCATCCGCACACGATCCACCTTAGCCGTCCTGCGTTGTAGTTACAACCGTTAGCCTCATGTCTACCGACCAGTTCCATTCTACCACCAACCTCACTGAAGAAACCGCCCATACCTCGAAGAAAAGGAAAACCCGCGAAAAAGAAGACCACCGCAAAACGTACTGAACCGCAGAACCGCACGATTATTGTTGAAATAAACTTGCAACATGGATAGTGTACCACAACCGCAAAATGTAACCAATTCACCACAACTTCCACCATGCCCTACATGTGCGACTACCATACATCTTACAACATTCCCGACGCAATTGGAAGTAGTACCTCTTTCCGAGTGAAGCCTTTTGGAATGGTACGGAATGTCCTGTGAGGTGTTGTCCATTTTGGAAAAGACACTGACAATGCATTATTAACTTTTACTTTCACTTTCATTTTAAAGTTGTCAAATCAATTATTGTGACGTTACGTCTTGTTAACCTTTGTAACCCCATATGCACCGCATTTTATGTACTTCAGTATTTGTTTTCTATGTTTAAATTGTCCTGAAGACGCCACCGTAAGTGGCGAAACATGTAGACTCAATAAAACTATCACCTTGCGGTAACCCAGATGTTGTTGTCTCTACATATTATATTTCCATGAGGTTTTAAGACAACCGCAGCATACTTCGGTATCCATCTTGGTTACTCTACCAGCTTTTCCGTTAGAAGGTGTTGGTTCACTCGTCACAAATTATATAATTAGCAGTTTATAAATCTTGAATAAAATATATTTGAATAAAAGTGTCCACATGGTCATGCTGGTAATGCTGGCAGCATTATTAGTCCTTCCATTTGAGAATAAATAAATTATTGTGTACAGCTAAACACAAATTTATGTATGAATAAAAGGCACTGTCACATTTTCCTTTGTAAATGAACACACACATACACACACACTCACATACAAAATGATTGTTTCATAGCAGAATTTCTGATCATAACCATTTTTTTTTGCAGGAATAAAGAAAGGAGACCGTGTAGCCATTTATATGCCAATGATAGTAGAACTTACTGTAGCAATGTTAGCATGTGCTAGACTTGGCATAGTACATTCCATAGTGGTAAGAACAATTTTAAAAGTCTTAAGTATAAATATTGAATAAAATTGGGGACTTGTCAACATTTTAGATAAATATACGACATTTTTGAGATATGCATTTGTTCTTAAAATTGTCCATGGAGATTTTGAGAGGGTGGCAGTTGTTTAAGTAATCATAAGATTAAAGATTTGATGTATTTTTCAGTTTGCTGGATTTTCTGCTGAATCTCTTGCTGACAGAATCTTAGATGGTCAGTGTTGTGCCATAGTAACAGCTGGTAAGTAACTTTATAGACATTTCAAACAGCTGACAATACTAAATGTAATCCTAAATAAATTGTGTTCCAAATGTAGGGCTGTATCCTGCAGTTTTATAGATAAGTTTATTCAGTCAGTCAAAATGTTTGGTGAATAACGAAAAATTAAAATTAAATGGGTCCTTGACTTCTATAGATTTACTCTTCTGGCTTGGCTTGCTAGATTTTCTGAAAAATATGAGGCTTGTCAATATAGTAAATTAATTTCTACTTTAAAATTGTAATAAAAGAATTTCATAGAATCAGGGCTCCCACTAGCAGGCGACAGGGTCTAAAAAGTCGCTTTCCCGTCCGTCACTTTGCTTTGCTCGATCGTCAAAAGCGATATCTAGTCGCCCTGTTGTTTACAATACTTGATTTCAGTCGCTTTTGTCATCTGCAATTTTCAATTTTTACCAAGTTGATGAAACAGCAATCTTTCATTTATAGGTAAAGAAATTCAAAGACATAAACGATTTATTTCTTAAGATAAGAGGTGAAAGCATTGACTTTACTGTTGGTTGTATGTTATGTCATAAAGACAATTTTTTATCACTTCTGGTACTTCTTACTCGAGAGGGTACATCAAATCATTCTAATTTTCTGCAAAATAAGTTTGTTACTTCATTAGAACATGATAAAAATTGCCTTTAGTTAATCTTTAATCAATTTATTGCATTAAAAACGTCATATTCCTTTCCAAAAAGCTTGTCAAACATCGTTTACTTTTGTAAATTTTCTTGTCCACCATTGAAATATTGTACGAACTAGGGATTGGAGGCAGGATTCATCGGAAGTGGACCAGCTATGTCTGAAATCTGTATTCTTACAATAATAACAATGGACGCACGAATGGCACAGCTGACAAAAGAATGTTGATCCCAAAAGGAGAATTACGCATTCTACACACATTAACAGACTTTTGGTTAGATCCACTTGCTTAATGTATATATTTCCATGTATATGCATTGTTTCAATTTATTGATTAAAGTTGCTTTGTTAAATTTATATATTTTTATGCCCCCGCGGTTGCGGAGGGGCCATTAAGTTTTACCCTTGTCCGTCTGTACTTCCCAAAATTGGTTTCCGTTCTTCAACTTTAGTTTGCCTCAACCAAATGTTATGAAACTTATCCACAATGCTTATTACCACAAAACACAGATCGAGCTTGAATTTTGGTGGCATCACTTTTACTGTTCTCGAGTTATGCCCCTTTACAAATGGAAAAATTGCTGAATTTTTCGTTTCCGTTCTCTAACTTTAGTTTGCCTCAACAAAATGTTATGAAACTTATGCACAATGCTAATTACCACAAAACACAGATAAAGATTGAATTTTGGTGGTGTCACTTTCACCGTTCTAAAGTTATGCCCCTTTACAAATGGAAAAATTGCTGAAATATTAGTTTTTGTTCTCTAACTTTAGTTTGCCTCAGCCTAATGTTATGAAACTTATGCACAATGCTAATTACCACAATACACAGATTAAGTTTGAATTTTGTTGGAGTCACTATTGCTGTTCTAGAGTTATCTCCCATTTACAAATCTCAAAATTGCTGAAATATTTGTTTCTGTTCTCTAACTTTAGTTTGCCTCAACCAAATGTTATGAAACTTATGCACAATGCTAATTACCACAAAACACAGAAAAAGATTGAATTTTGGTGGCGTCACTTCTACTGTTATAGAGTTATGCCCCTTCAAAAATGGAAAAATTGCTGAATTTTTTTATTCTGTTCTCTAATTTAAGTTTATGTCAACTAAATGTTATGAAACTTATAAACAATGCTTATTACCACAAAACTCATATCAAGTTCAAATTTGGGTAGTGTCACTTTCACAGTTCTTGAGTTATGGCCCTTTATAACGTTATATGCAAGCATGAATTTTAATTGATATATTATACTATCTTTTCCTTTTTGATATAAAAAAAAGTTCTTTTTAGTGCTAGATATTTAGTTGGTAGTTTCTGACAAGAGGACTAATATAATTGTGCAACTAGAAATGATAAACTTAAGCAGCTTTGAATTTGAATTTGAACTGTTACTTTAATTGTATACTCAGGTATGAATTGAACAATATAAGAAAAAAATAAGATACATATGGCCCTATATGTTATAGTAAAGACCAAACATTGTAGAGCCGCGAGCGAACAAGCACTTCTCTATCAAATATCAACACTTCTCCTTATCAGTTTCAAAAAGAGAAGTCACTTCTCCCTACGATTCTGATGTAGTGTGAGCCCTGTTCAGAATTTGAGATTTTTTCTCCTGTTGAATTGAATATTTACTTTGAAGTCTGTCTTACAGATTCAAAGGAAGATTGTAAAAATATTTTGATACATTTTATACATTATATAACAACAAAATTCACAGAATGTAGCTCATCTGAAAATCAGCCAGTTTTCAAGGATGTCATAATAATAGAATTTTATCGTACGGCTAAAAATTTACAACTAATTCATTGTGCAAAATTACCCGTCACATGAGTTACTAAAGAAATGCTTTCAATTTTTTTAATGAAACAAAATTGTTGACTATTTTGCATTGCTTTTGGAGTTTGGTGGGAAACACCATTAAACTTTCCAAACATGATTAAGTATAAAGGATATGCATGTAATATTATAACTGTTGTAAGGGATTAACCATTTGATATTTGTAATCTATAGAATCCTTGTTGTATTACAGATGGTGTGTGGAGAGGGAGTAAACTGCTCAATTTGAAATCCATAGTAGATGTTGCCTTAGAAATTTGTTCAAAAAGGTAAAATTCATTAAAAAAGTATTGGTCACCTCTGAGTGCTATTATATTTGATGATGTTTTCCAGGTACAGAAATTATCATTCACAAAATCTATTGAATTTTTACTGTTAGAATACTAATTTTACATGACAATTACCACAAATCCTTTTTAAGAATCCATCCATGGTCAAGTTATGGTAAACGGACGAAGATTTTCTGAAACTAGAATTATTTATACCATTAAAAAGGTATCAGCTTATAAGAATAATTGCTTTTGGGGAAATTAGAATTTGAATATTATATCAAAATAGTTTTTATTGTTGATTTGACATACTCTTAGTATAGATGCACATCCATCATATATTTAGATAATAAAAGAAATAATTGTAATGATTTTTATGCCCCACCTACAATAGTAGAGGGGCATTATGTTTTTCGGTCTGTGAGTCTGTTCGTTCGTTCGTCTGTCTGTCCCGCTTCAGGTTAAAGTTTTTGGTCAAGGTAGTTTTTGATGAAGTTGAAGTCCAATCAACTTGAAACTTAGTACACATGTTCCCTATGATATGATCTTTCTAATTTTAATGCCAAATAAGAGTTTTGACCCCAATTTCACGGTCAACTGAACATAGAAAATGATAGTGCGAGTGGGGCATCCGTGTACTATAGACACATTCTTGTTATCTTTCATTTTGCCTGAGTTGTAAGTAATATCTTATTTTAATCTGTGACAGCAGCCCTATACTGTTCCTTGACCTTAACTATTGTAACTGTTAGACTTTGGCATATTTCATCAGTACATGTTATGAATGTTTGACTTCCGATCTCTTTTAAGTTGTTGTGAGGTGGGTATAGTTAATGTCTACAAGAATGACCCAATTCTGAGACTATGCATGTCTGACCCCCTTAAACACATAGTATTATTGAAAATATCAACAATTTAAATGTTCAGTTTAATGTGTATATATTTCAGACATTGTTGTAGTAATATACTAATGATCATGATGTAAAATCATTTGCATCACAGAAAATACTGACATTTATTTATAAGTATGTTTTTTTTTCAGGGACCACAAGTTATCACATTGTTTTATTGTGAAGCATTTGTTACCAAAGGGGCATAGTGTACAAGAAAATGGAGATTTTGTAAATTATCCTGAGGAAATACCTGCCAAAAGACCAACACATAGTTTAAAGGTATTTGATGATGGTTTGGAACTTTATCATACACAAAAACATAACGGGAATTTCCAAAAATATAAGACTGTACTACAGACCACTTTAACAACCATCATCAGACTACTGCAAAAACAAACCACAAGTACATGGTCCACTACATATACTGGCTTTTAAGGAGATTTTGTGGTGTCATTTAATTTCATTTACTAACATTTTGTGTAAAATTATTAACCTTTACACCATTCCTTCTTGGAAAGACCTGTCACATGGTAACAACATTCCAAGATAAAAAATTTACTGCACGAGATGAGCATTTCAACAATTATTGTCTTGTTAGTGATGCTCAAATATGACAAAATGTTACTAGGCAATGCTTTCTTATTCCATTTTCATGAAGGAAGTAAATTTCTGAGACTGAGAAGAGAAAAATCAGTGTGACTTTCTCATTATTAACAGAATTTGTGATCACTTGTATGCACTAGTAATGAGTAGGTAAGGGGATTGAGGTGTGGGAAATTTTGGACAAGGGAAAGCTTTCATGTGGGAAAATATATTTTGAAAAAGAAATTACAAAGCCCTTCTTTCTTTTATAATAAATAGAAAATGATACTTTCAATCATAAAAAAGGATATTTTTTTTTATAAAAAATATTACAAAAAATTGTTTAATAGTAAAGAGTTAAGGTGATTGTCCATACTTTCGTTCGCTTTCCAAAAAGTTAAGTTCATTTAATGTGATGTCACTGTAAAAGATATAATTCATTATTAGATAAATTGGACAGATGGTCGAGATATTTGGTGGCATGATGTGATGGGAACAGCGTCCACTGACTGTGAACCTGAGTGGATGGATGCAGAAGATCCATTATTCATGTTATACACTAGGTAAGTTGTTACTGGAACAGTATCTGAATTTGATCCTGAGTATCTTGTATATGTAACTTTTCAAATTAGAAAACAATTCACAGAATAATTCTAAACTAAAGTCATTTTTCAACTCCAATCTATTTTGGAAACTAAATGCTCTTGTATTGTTTATTTTTCAGTGGATACTCAGATTAGAAAACAGTACTAAATACCTTTGCAGATATTCTATAATCAATTATAAAATCATAGTATTTGGGTTTTCTGTTCTGAATACATCCATTTGTGTACCTTATTGTCCCCTGGGTAAAGCGTTGCGGGGGACATGGAAATACTTGGCGTCAGTTCGTCCAGTCTTTTTAGCGCTCTCACAGGTACAATTCTTGCCAGATTTTTATAAAACTTATACTATAGGTTAATATCAGCAAAATCTCAGACAAGTTTTATAATGGTGGTTGATCGACTTTTTTTAAAAGAGTTATGCCCCTTGGAAATATAAAATATGTGCAACGCAGGGGACATTGGAACTCTGTTCTTTTATTTTTCAGTGGATCTACAGGCAAACCAAAAGGAGTGCTCCACACTGTAGGAGGATATATGTTATACTCTGCCACAACATTTAAGTATGCCTTTGACTATCAACCAGATGATATTTACTGGTGTACAGCTGATGTTGGGTGGATTACTGGTCATACATATGTTGCATATGGTCCACTCAATAATGGTGCTACCAGTATTATAGTAAGAACTTGATTACAATATTTATGTGGTACAAATGTACTTCCAAAAAATTAATTGTTCTTGGTGAAAGAAATTAAAGATGGCAATGAAAAACAAAATTCATAGAAGTACAAACAATACCAGGATGAAAAGACAAGCAAGTGCACTAAGCATTTCACTAAACATTGAGCTATTCAAACAGCACAAGCCACTTGGTTTATCTAAGGTGCATAGAAAGGATAAACTCTTCCCCTTTACCACTTATGGAATCAGTTATGTTTCTCATGACCTGTAAAAAGTCCCCATTTGTGTTTTAAGATGATTGTGGACAGTTCATGTTACACTGATATTATCTTTTATTTACACATTGACAAAAATCAATAGCACTGTCAGGAAATAGAAGTTCCTACATAATATAAGTTCCAAATGGAAAAAATATTCTGGAATATTATTTCCACTGGAATAAATATTACAGTATATGTTCCTAACGGAATAAATGGTATAGAATATTTGTTCCAACAGGAACAGATATTATGACATTGTTTATAACAAAGTATCTAGTGGAACTTCTGTTAGGCGGAACAAATATACATTGACAGCACAGTGCTATCTTTTTGCGTCTGTCTGTTTTTAGTTCAGAGATAATCTTGAATTCATTCTTAGGGATAGTTGGACATGCAATGGTCCATTTGTTAAAAGTAGATGAGTCTTTATTTGACTATAATTTTTCCATGTAACTTACATAAGATATAAACATATCATTTATATAAAGTTCAAAATATTTGCCAGTGGTTTGTAAGTTATCCAGAATTTCCGTTCTTGGAGAGATATATCTAAACAAAACAGATGTTGTAATCATGTGATCATATAAACCAGTATGTTTATGTCTGATACATTCCTTTTTATTAGTTTGAAGGTACACCATTCTTTCCTGATGCTGGAAGATTCTGGGCCATCATAGAGAAATATAAAGTGACTAAGTTTTACACAGCACCAACAGCTATTAGATCTCTGATGAGATATGGGGATGAATATGTTACAAAGTAAGTCTGTAGGTTTCTGGAGGTGACATATTTATATAGAAATAAGAAGATGTGGTATGATTGCCAATGAGACAACTATCCATGCTCCAGAGTTCAAATGACATAAAGTAAGCAACTAGAGGTCACAGTACTGCCCTCAACAATGAGAAAAACCTATACCATAGGATCAGCTTTACAAGGTACTGACAGGAAAACTAGCGACATAACAATTATAACAATTTAACTTACAAAAAAAAATGACAGACATGAACCAACTACAACCACTGAATTACAGACTCCTGATTTATAATCCTCAAACATTATTATTTTGTCTTTCATGGAAATTCTTAGAAAACTAATTTATGTAATTTTAAACCTATTAAACACCATTGCTGAAATTTAATGCTATACATTTCTAAGGTTTTTTTAATAACTAATTTTTCATAGAAATTAGACTTACAAATGTACAGTATTCCAAGGTATATGCAAAAGACTGCCTGAATTCTGACAGGGTTATAATTGTAACTACATTATGATTATCTAAAGTGACATTCGGTAATTTATGAAATTTGCCGATATTTGACAAATCAGACTGAAATTAGTTGACATCTTTCACTAAAAGTACAAGCTGTAGTGAATAATTCAATATAGAATCAATATTTGATAATTAACTTTTAAGATTGAGTGTTGAAAATTTAAATAAATACCAATTGATATCAATAAAGTTAAATTGAAAATTTAAACATCAAGGCGTTAATAAATATAGTAATCCATAGAATATTGTGTTAGCATCTATATGTTCAACTCTCTATCGGAAAAGCTTTCATGCACTCAGCAATAATATTTCATTTATCAATTATTGCTTGTGGAGTAACTTTATTAAGTTATAGCCAAAACTTGTATTGTTATCTTGGCTAGAAATTCAATAAATGATTGACTCAGATTTTCTTTTTTTTTAAAACTGAATAATACCCTGAGAGTTCAGGTACATGGTACTTATTTTTGAAATTTATCTTGCCATGTATGGATCACTCCAGACTTAGTAAAGCAAGCTGCTGTGCAGTCAAATGAATTTATGTCACAATATAAAAATAAGTGCCAATGAAAAAACTATCCACCAGAGGCCGAAGATCAAAGTTTATCCTTTAAGTAAAAGCAAACAGCTCATAGAAAGGAAGTCATGTGAATATTCACTTCTCCAACAGGTCCAAAAACACAGATACATACTAACCCCCAAGAAAGATCAGGTTGCATGTATGATGGTTTTGGACTTCTGTGATATGATAGTTGACAATTGAATTTAATTTTTGTTTAAGATATGACAGATCCTCCTTGAAAGTGTTAGCTACAGTAGGGGAACCAATTAACCCAGAAGCCTGGCTATGGTATCACAATGTTGTAGGCAATAAACAATGTGCTGTGGTGGACACATTCTGGCAGACTGAGACAGTAAGTTAATACACAAAATTATAAACATTTAAACAATATACTTTATAAAAAAAAATGAAGACTTGGTTGTTCATCACTTGGATTGCTTTTAACCTTTAGTGAAATACAGTATCTTGCTAGTCAAGATAACATTACTTAAGTATTTGAACAAAGTGAAAGATAAATTTGTTATAAATTTTAACCAGTGTAAAATGTAGCCATAAGTAATATGTATTATGCATTGAGTAAGCCCAGTCATTGTGTGCAATTCTAAAGCAAAGTCAAACATTTAGACATGTCTGGAGCAGAGATTCTTCAACAATATTCAATAATTTCAAAAACATCAAGCATCTAAGTGCTCAAATGCTGAGAGAAGACACTTTGTTTACTAATATCTAGCAGGACTGTTTTGATTTACTCTAGAGCATGAACTTCTGTTGGTAACAGATTTTAACTTTACTTTTAGGGTGGACACACAATTACACCATTACCAGGAGCCACACCAACAAAACCAGGATCTGCTGTAAGTCAAAATAATAAAAACATCTTTTAAAAAAAAAGATGGTACAATGTTCTAAATACTACTCTAGTACTTATTAATAATTTGTATATAAGATGAAGTCTATGGTTTTCGTTAGGTTTATTTTTTTTTTAAACATCTCGAAATTTGTTAAAACATAAGAATTGAAGTCTATACTGCGAATTGCAACTTTACTTATACTCAAGAGTTCAATTTTATTGGCTGTTGATTATGAAATATTTTCATCTTTGCGAATCTACTTCCATGAATAAAAAGAATTGCTGACTATACATTATTGAGACAATAATCCAATCATATATAGAACAAAATCTAACTGTTGAGTATATATTTCCAGACATTCCCATTCTTTGGAATTGTACCTGTTATAATGTCAGATGAAGGTGTAGAAATCACAGAACCTAATGTAGAAGGATATCTGGTGAGTTTATTTTCTTCAGATACTCAGTTGAATCAGTAATATGATAATGTTGTTTGTTGATACATTGAAATAGTGTATTTCTCAGGTGATATTGCATTATTTAAAACACACCTGATCCAGAGTCACATACCATCTTTTTGTCTTTTGTTTCCTTTATGTGATAGTCCAAAAAATCTACCAAAAACCATTATTGAGTTTTTTAGCTCACCGGGGCCCGAAGGGCCCCATGTGAGCTTATGCCATCACTTGGCGTCCGTCGTCGTCTGTCGTTGTCGTCTGTCATCGTAAACTATTTCAAAAATCTTCTCCTCTGAAACTACTGGGCCAAATACCTTCAAACTTTAACTAAATGTTCCTTAGGGTATCTAGTTTATAAATTGTATCCGAAGTTTTGATCCATCGACAAACATGGCCGCCATGGCTAAAAATAGAACATAGGGGTCAAATGCAGTTTTTGGCTTATATCTCTAAAACTAAAGCTTTAAGAGCAAACTGACATGGGGTAAAATTGTTCAGTTGGTCAAGATCTATCAGCTCTGAAATTTTCAGACGAATCAAACAACCCATTGTTGGGTTGCTGCCACCGAATTGGTAGCTTTAACAAAATTTTGCAGTTTTTTGTTATTATTTTGAATATTATTATAGATATATATAAACTGTAAGCAGCAATAATGTTCAGAAAAGTAAGATCTACAAAAAAGTTATATGACCAAAATTGTCATTTGACCCCTTAAGGAGTTATTGCCCTTTAAAGACAATTTTACACAATTTGTTCATCAAGTTTGCTAACATTTAAAAATCTTCTCCTCTGAAACTACTGGGCCAATTACCTTCAAAATTTAACTAAATGTTCCTTAGGGTATCTTGTTTATAAATTATATCCGAAGTTTGTATCCATCGACAAACATGGCCGCCATGGCTAAAAATAGAACATAAGGGTCAAATGCAGTTTTTGGCTTATATCTCAAAAACTAAATCTTTTAGAGCAAATGTGACATGGGGTAAAATTGTTTAATTGGTCAAGATCTATCAGCTCTGAAATTTTCAGACGAATCGAACAACCCATTGTTGGGTTGCTGCCACCGAATTGGTAGTTTTACCAAAATTTTGCAGTTTTTTGTTATTATTTTGAATATTATTATAGATATATATAAACTGTAAGCAGCAATAATGTTCAGCAAAGTAAGATCTACAAAAAAGTTAATATGACCAAAATAGTCAATTGACCCCTTAAGGAGTTATTGCCCTTTAAAGACAATTTTACACAATTTGTTCATCAAGTTTGCTAACATTTAAAAATCTTCTCCTCTGAAATGCAGGTGAGCAATTCAGGCTCTTGAGAGCCTCTTGTTTATCCAGATTATGAAACAATAAATGGGACATTTTTGACTAGTATTTATTGAAGGCCTACAGTCATGTTCAGCTAGACCTGGATAAGATCTTATACAATTAACCATCTCCTCAATAGTATAATTTATATTTAGAAGCCAGATAGCTATATATTATCATTCTTTGCCTTCAGTCAAGTTGTTTAAATACATCACCAGCCAATGAGTGAGCCATCCCTAATGATTGTGTTGTGTAATGTGTAATATATTTGAAAACATGTTTGTTTATTTTCAAGCATCATATAAAATAAAATAACTTTAATTTTTTTATTGTCATCGTTCGTAAAAACAGCATGTATAATAGAATGCATATCATATAAAAAAAACCTTGTAAACCTGCTGAGATAAACAAAACTTAGAGAGTTGGATGCCATGAAATCTGTCTGCTTACGTATGGTTTTTTACTTAAATCAGAATATATTTTAGGTATTTAAACAGCCATGGCCAGGCCTGATGAGAACAGTGTATGGTGACCATGAGAGATATGAAACAACATATTTTAAGAAATTCCCTGGTTATTACTGTACAGGGGATGGTAAGTGATGTATTTGTTTGATCTTTTATTAAGAAATTCCCTGGTTATTACTGTACAAGGGATGGTAAGTGTTCTGAGTCTAAGGCCTTAATAAAAAAAATAATCTTTGTTTCCCAAAACCCCTACCCAGATTTTTGCTGGTAGGTAGGTAGGTGTTTTTTTTTTTTATTTTATTTGGAAAATGTATTTGTCTGACATAATAGAAAACATATTGCATGAAAAAATGGCAACTACATTCAAGGTACTACTTTTTTGTGTTGATGCTATTCATCAAACTTTGTGTTTACCTTTACTGTGAATTGTACCCTATTATTGATAAGCAGCTTTGTACATTTTGTTAACTACTGTATTGCATACAAAACATTCTTATTTCTGACCGTATAATTGTGCAGTTTTTATACGACAGCAAAAAAATTTTTGCGGTCGTATATTGGTATGACGTTGGCGTCGTCGTCGTCGTCTGGCGTCGTCCGAAGACACATTGGTTTTCGCACTCTTACTTTAGTTTAAGTGAATGGATCTCTATGAAATTTTACCACAAGGTTCAATACCACAAAAGGAAGGTTGGGATTGATTTTGGGGGTTATGGTACCAACAGTAAAGGAATTAGGGGCCAAAAAGGGGCCAAAAATAAGCATTTTTGTAACTTCCAGACATAACTTGTGTGTTAGTGTATGGATCTCTCTGACATTGTACCACAAGGTTCCATATCACAAAAGGAATGCTGGGATTGATTTTGGGGGTAATTGCCTCAAAATATTAGGAATTAGGGGCCAAAAAAGGGGCAAAAAACCAAGCATTTTTCTAGTTTCATGACAATAACTTGTGTGTAAGTGCATGGATCTTTCTGAAATTGTACTACAAGGTTCCATATCACAAAGGAAAAGCTGGAATTGAGTTTGGGGGTAATTGCTGAAACGTTTAGGAATTGGGGGCCAAAAAGGGGCCAAAAATAAGCATTTTTCTAGTTTCCAGACAATAACTTGTGTTCAAGTTTATGGATCTCTCTGAAATTGTACTGAAAGGTACCATACCACAAAGGGAAGGCTGGGATTGATGATGGGGGTAATTGCCTCAATATTTTAGGAATTAGGGGCCAAAAAGGGGCAAAAAACAAGCATTTTTCTAGTTTCAGGACAATAACTTGTGTGTAAGTGTATTGATCTTTCTGATATTGTACTACAAGGTTCCATATCACAAAGGGAAAGCTGGGTTTGAGTTTGGGGTTAATTGCCCTAATTGTTTAGGAATTTGGGGCCAAAAAGGGGCCAAAAAACACATTTTTCTAGTTTCCAGACAATAACTTGTGTTCAAGTGTATGGATCTCTCTGAAATTGTACTGCAAGGTACCATACCACAAAGGGAAGGCTGGGATTGAGTTTGGGGGTGATGAATCATAAGGGGGTTCAAAAAATTTGGGGGGGGGGATTTTTTTTTTTTTTCCTTTTTTTTTCTTTTTTTTTTCTTTTAAAATTTTCCATTTTAAGTTGGTTATTTCTGATTTATATTTAAAAGCAAATAATAATGATATGGTAGGAGATACACACCAAACAGGATGTGTAAATTATTATATAATAAGTATTGTGCAATAGCAAGAAATTTTCAATTGCACGGTATTGCACAATAGCAAGAAATCTTCAATTGCACAGTATTGCGCAATAGCAAGAAATCTTCAATTGCACAGTATTGCGCAATAGCAAGAAATATCCAATAGCACAATATTGCGCAATAGCAAGAAATGATCAATTGTACAGTATTGCGCAATAGCAAGAAATATTTAATTGCACAGTATTGTGCAAAAGAAGATACTTTGTATAAATTGCTTATTTCTTGACCAATTTCAATGGGGTTTTATTCTTGAATTCTTGGGGTTCTTTAATATGCTGAATCTAACCGTGTATTTAGTTTTTGGATTTTGGGCCCCGTTTTTAAATTGGTCCACATTGAGGTCCAAAGGGTCCAAAATTAAACTTTGTTTGATTTCATCAAAAATTGAATTATTGGGGTTCTTTGATATGCCGAATCTAACCATGTATTTAGATTCTTAATTTTTGGTTCCGTTTTCAAATTGGTCTACATTAAGGTCCAAAGGGTCCAAAATTAAACTTAGTTTGATTTTAACAGAAATTGAATTCTTAGGGTTCTTTGATATGCTGAATCTAAACATGTATTTAGATTTTTGATTATGGGCCCAGTTTTCAAGTTGGTCCAAATCGGGGTCCAAAATTAAACTTTGTTTGATTTCAACAAAAATTGAATATATGGGGTTCTTTGATATGCTGAATCTAACCATGTATTTAGATTTTTGATTTTTGGGCCCCGTTATCAACTTTGTTCACATTGAGATCAAAAGGGTCCAAAATTAAACTTTGTTTGATTTCATCAAAAATTGAATTCTTGGGGTTCTTTGATATGCTGAATCTAACCATGTATTTAGATTTTGGATATTGGACCATAATAGGTGAATGTCCAATTTAAAATTTTTAAGTTCTTAGACCACATTCATTCTGTGTCAGAAACCTATGTTGTGTCAAATATTTAATCACAATCCAAATGCAAAGCTGTATCAAGCTTGAATGTTGTGTCCATACTTGCCCCAACTGTTCAGGGTTCGACCTCTGCGGTCGTATCAAGCTGAGCCCTGCGGAGCATTTTATTATGTAATGGTAACATGTTGATATTCTTTATACACAAAAAAAAAAATCAATTTTCTCAAAGAACTTCAATTCAATAACTGAAACAACTTAACATTTAACTCTATTATTAAAGAATAACAAAATTAAACATAACACGATTTAATAGAATTAGGCTATAATAGTGATAGACTAGAATGCAATTGAATTTTTTTTCGCTAACTTGCACCAAAACCTTGTCGGAACGAAGCAGTGAAAGACTGCCTTCACCTGTGTCAGTGACATCTTCTAATACTTCTTTCCAAATTGATTGTTTTCCAAATGTATACAATCTGTTGTTTACTAAAGTTTTAATTTTTCCTGTGTGTGGATATTTTATCCTTACACTCAAAGAGAGGGTAATTTGGTCTGCCATTGACGCAGATCAATCAGAACTAATCAGCTTTTTTCGATTTTTATGAAGCGGAAATGGCTGAGTAGTTCCAATTTGATGCAGACACACATTAAATAAGAATTTGTATCTGGATCGCTATTTCCGGAAATCAGAGTTCGGTCAGATGAAAAAAATAAAATTTAGAAAGGACACAAAAGATTTTTTTAGTGGGCAGCTTTTTTTCCAGTCGGTCGGGGCATGTGGAAACAAACCTATTTTTTATTTTGGCCTTAGCTGATTTATATTTCTAACATATTATTTGTAGGAGCCAAACGAGACGAGGATGGCTATATCTGGGTAACAGGAAGAATAGATGATATGGTGAATGTGTCAGGCCATTTACTTAGTACTGCAGAGATAGAATCTGCTCTGGTAGAACACCCAACTGTCGCTGAGGCTGCTGTCGTCTCTCATCCTCATAAAATTAAAGGAGAATGTACATACTGTTTTGTCACACTGAAAGAGGTATGAAGCACTTACTATGAAGAAATGTGCACTGAAATGGACTAAGTTATCATTTAAAGGGCCAGATGAAATTGATAAACAAAACATAACTTCAATACTCTTTCAACTCTGTTTTGCAAACTCCTGAAACAATCTAATACTGTGGATTCATTTATTTTCATGTTTACTCATCTTAGTGGATTTAGAAGAAAAATATTGGATACTAGATTTCATTGTTTTCAAATGGTAGGAAAGTTGTATTTGCAGAATAGATAAATTTTGTGTTTATCCTTACCCATGAAAATAAGTATCCCACAAATAATTATGAATCTACAGTAAGTTGAATTTAGTTTAATGTAAAAATATAATTAAACATTATTAAAAAAATATATCCAGAATTTCTGCATTTGAGGGTATGACCATTGGAAAAAATATAGTTTGAATACTTACCATTTATAGACACAACTTTTTTTGTTATGGAACTTTCATCATTTAATGATTTATCTAAAGATTTCAATCTGCATTACATCAAGTTGGTTGATTCAAATGTGTGCAGGGATTTTGTGTCATTTATTATAGCACCATATCCTTTCTGTGTCATATCATTGTACATGTATTAATATAGATGTTTTCATGATACATATTGTATATTATCAAGAATAAAGTATTTGAAAATATATATATCCCCAATAACACCACTCAACTAAGAAACCATTTTTAGGTTGATTTGATTCTCCAAATTGGCAAAGAAGTTATAGAAAAAAATATTCAATACGGGCAAACATATTGTTGCCGTATTACTTAAGTTGAAGTAAATAAATGTAAGTTGAAGTAAATAAATGTGGACAGCATCACTTATACTGGAACCATAATTTAACTGTAGAATCCTGCATATTTCAGGGTAAAGAGTTTTCTGATGCTTTGAAAAAAGAACTCATGGAAAGAGGTAAGATAACAAACAGTGAACATATAATACAGAAATATTTGTTATTTCAAAAGTGAATTACATTTTCTGTAATGAAATATTAGTAAGCTTAAATGAAATACATTTGTACACTACTCAAAATAAAAATATTAATGTGATGATTTTAAATATTCCTATTAATTTGAGAAAATGAACATGACAATTATTAAAACTGACATATAAAGGTTATACAGATAATATTCTACTAACAATTAACAGGAATCACATTATCTTACCTTATTGTTAGTTATGGATCATTCGTAATTTTAAATGTAGGCATTTACTTATAAATTTACAGTATTTTAATGCCAAAACATTTTTTTATACTTGAAACTTATAAATGTGGATCAGTAATTGTTACATCCAGATAAAGGTCAGCTTTTTATGTTTAGATTTGCATAGCATATACCTTTCATTTATGCACCATTCTCTTTGAACTTTGTAGTAATGTCAGTTAAATTAATACCAAGTATTGTCATTAATATTTGGTATGCAGTTGTTTTAACATTAGCTCTCATTAAATGGAGATTGCTTGGTCCTCATTAAGTAGTTGTGGTCCTTATGGAATTTTGTATATTTTGCATGAGAGTTTGTGAAGTACTTGTGGCAGTCATGCAGTATTGCAATAGTTAAAGAGTGAGTATTGGACAAGTGATATTTTGAATGAGATACAGATCAGCATTTATTTCAGTTTTCCTCATAGGTCTGTGAAAGTTGTAAACTACATGTAGGTCCAAATTTTTGTAAAATAACTCTCTTGGCCTACTGTATTTCTTGGAAAGTTTTGAAACGCTTGTTGATATTAACTCCATATACCTGCCATATGATACCAACAGTCTGATTGCTTTGAATTGAGTTTGTCTGCAAGGAGTTGAGACAAATCAATGTGATAAAATTGTAATTTTTTGTCTGTATCTACCTTATGACAATAGCCTTATCCCATATTGAATCTCATCAATTGCATGATATTCCTTTCAACACTAAATCATCTGTTTTTATTGAATCTTTCAGTGAGGAAGAAGATTGGTCCATTTGCTCAACCAGATTTTGTACAGAATGCTCCTGGACTGCCAAAAACAAGGTCAGGGAAAATCATGCGCCGTGTACTCAGGAAAATAGCAGTGGGAGACAAAAATGTGGGCGATATCACAACCATGGCTGATGAAACTGTCATAGATAAACTCTTCCAACTCCGTCCTCCTGAAGCATAGAACAAATCATTTATGTAAATTTAAACTAAGCAAAAACTAATACAGACATGACATATATGTGAAAATAGTTCTTTTTAATGTATTAGGACTCACGTCTTTAGTGCAAGTTCAAGAGCTGGTTTTTTCACAATAAAACATTTATAGATTGAAGGAATTTTAATATTTTCAAACACTGTTAACCATTATTGACCATAAGACCATATAAAACTAACTTACTAACTTTCTTTTTCTCAGACATGATCAATTTATGCCAGTCAATAATTGTCTAATGGCCCATTTAAATTGAAGGATGGTCAAAAATTACTTCAGATAAGTGCATTAGAATTTCTTTAACTTTTATTATTTGAGCATAAGTAACAATTTAGGTAAGGTTCCAAACAGCTTTATTGTGATTTGTCTGTATCAAATGTATTTTATGTTTGCTATCTATAAAAGAAATATCAGAAATATATTCGAGAACTTTAACATTTGAAATTTCATTATCAATATTAGTGTTGAATTGCAAGAAAGAGGCTTCTATTTTTTTTTATCTGATCTCTTTTCTATTTTTTTAAATTAAGTGCTTATGATCATGAACCAAATATATTTTTTATGGCCTCTTTATTTTAACTGTTATTTCTTTGTTAATTCTTTTTTAAGTGCAATATTATCATCTATTGTATCATTTTTTGTATTTAAATCATTGGATCTGTTTATACATTGAATACAAAATACAGAAAACATTTTGAAAAGGTGGCAAACTTTTCTATATGTTTTTTTTCTTTACTGGTGTAAGATTATATATCTGTTGACATAATTAGCTGTATTAAAAGATATTTTCTATCAAGCAGACATAAAGAATCTGTGTCATTCTGAAGAAGAAGAATATTTTATTTCCAATTAGGGGCCCCAAAGGGCATAAACATTACAACATGAATAATTTTCACAATACAATACAAACAATGAGATAAAAAACAAAAACAAAATAAAGAACCATTCAAGTTCTTAAAGTAATATATAGATAAAGAACCTATAATTTGAAACATATAATGCATTATAATGCAAGTGTGGTTGATATAGATAACAAACAAACAGCCAAAAATAGTTATTTTTTTATGAAAATAGGTTTGTTTGTTGGAACATCACTATTGCTGTATTTAGATAAATTTACTATATTGTAATACTTTATTTATGAAATAGCTGTATTTTTCTAATTGAGGTCAGTTGCTTGTTGTTAAAAATTAAATAATTGCTACTGATAATACATTTTTATTTGGTTAGTGTTAATGTTTTAATCATTGCAAAAAGACCAGTCATACTTTAAATCTTTAAATGACATTGCTAAATACATTTCAACTACATTTTTCAACTGGCAATTTTTTCAAATAAAAAATGTACTTTTCATGAATTCTTTACTATAGTCGAAAGTTACAAAGGCCAAATTTTACTTAAACATGATAACGGTTTTAAATACTCATAAAAAAGCTAGATATTGTTATTGTAATATTCAGGACATGTTCCTCGGAGTTATTTTTCTATGACTTTTTTAATACAGAATTATATTTAGCATAAACATCTATATAAAATTGAGAATGGAAATGGGGAATGTGTCAAAGAGACAACAACCCGACCAAACAGCAGAAAACAGCCCAAGGCCACCAATGGGTCTTCACCACATGTTTGCCATGGTTTCTGAATAAAAATGACATGAATATATAATCTCTTTTTCAGATATGTTAAAAATTTAAACATTTAGGTAAATTTTGTGAGAATTTGTCAGTAGGAGTTACAAGTGCTTTTATGAATTCTAAAATATTCAAGGAAGTTTTCTTTTACAGTCTTGAGTTATTCTAGAAAAGGTTTTTGCAGTAGGTACATATAAATGTGGAGTACATTGTATAATTATTTTAATGTTCTCTCATGAAATTTTGATCAAACTGCAAACTAAAACTAAATGTGCTTTCAAATTTTCTTGCAATTGGTGCATTTCATTGTAATTTTATCCAGGGCTATTTAAAAAAAATTCAAGTATTGAAACCAAAATTACTTGTGTAGGAGCGTTATTACATCAAAATGAAAGTCATGTATAGCGAGCTGTTTCACCCAAGCAATATTGATTTAGATTCATAAATGGTGGAGTAGTGGACCAACTGCTTCGCTTTTGTCTTTTTCTTTTGGCCATGGTGTTGTTTATCCTTTCATTCATTATGATGATTTCACACTTGTTAATTTCTTACTTTTTCTGTTTAAATAGCTCTCGATAAAGTTCAAATTGAACTGAACAGTTGCAAGTAAATTTATAACTTATTGTGTATGTATTCTTTCTATACTATATATGGATGTTTAAAATATTACTGAAAGAGAAAATGGTTTTTATTGGGAAAACTATAAATTAAATTACAGTTTTTGTCTCGCCTTGACAGAGTCAAAAAACGAGACATTGGTATGCTGTTTCCGGCAGCGGGGGCGGCGTCAACAATGTATTAGTTTGTAATTAGGTCTAGTTTATGGTGACCCACTAGCGGTAGGTCAATGATATTTAGTATGCAGTTGAATTTGCATTGGCACATCTCATTTCCATGGAGATTATTTGGCCCTGCCCCCTCAGTCATGGTCTATTGACTTTGAAACTTTCACTTAGTTTACATGTATTAATTTGTGATTAGGTCAGTTTCTGGGGAACCACTAGTGGTAGGTCAATGATATTTGGTAAGCAGTTGTATAAGCATTGGCATATCTCATTTCCATGGAGATTGTTTGGCCATGCCCCCTCAGTCATGGTCTATTGAATTTGAAACTTTTACTTAGTCTACATGTATTAGTTTGTGATTAGGTCAGTTTCTGGGGAACCACTAGTGGTGGGTCAATGATATTTGGCATGCAGTTGTATAAGCATTGGCACATCTCATTTCCATGGAAATTATTTTGCCCCACCTCCTCAGTCATGGTTAATTGACTTTGAATATTTTTCATAACTTGCATTTTAGAGTATTGCTATTTTAATTTCAACACTTGCATTTTACTATCAAAATAACAAAAAGGTGAGACATATCTCTATGTTAACAGTTTATTATTACTATTTGTTGGGAGCTTAGATTTGTTCTTGGTTTTTCAAAATTTGATAGAAACATTTAACAGTAAAATAAAATGGCATTGTTTCTTTTGAATCTCAAACTGTACTACTGCTCAAGTTTGTAAGACAGCATGTGAAAAAAGAATATCAACAGTCATTTGAGTTTGTGTCTTGTTTTTAGACCCTATATCTATGTTCGAACTTAATGTTTATTTTGTTTATTTATAGATTTTGCACATGCCCTACTATTTACTTACTCGATTATTTTATCACATATAGTATTGTTAGAAATATATAGCACAACATATTTAACCATTTGTTTTATAGTTAAGTTGAAAACTTATAAAATCAAATCTTACAATTCAAGGAATTATGAATTTTATTTGAATCTCTTGGAAAAAGAGTTTATGCATTTAAATTTTGATACTTTTGTACACACAAGTCACCATACTCCCAATAAAATCAGCAAAATAAGAACAAAATTCTATTTGAATAGAAACTGATTTTTTCAGGAGATAATTAAATCAGTCACTTGAAGGGAATAATAAAAAAAGGTGTGGATAGGGTATTTTGTTTAAATTTCACAGAGCACTGAAAACAATGGTCAGGTTGCAGTAATGTCCATTTTAATTATCTCCCCTGAATTGAACACATTGATTTAGAATTATCTCCCCATACAAAATCATATTCTATAAACGATGAATGAGTCTTGAATGATGATTTATGTTTAGGTAACTGTGATTGGTAACTTATTCAGAATGATGTCATGTTATTGGTAGATTTGTTGACATCAGCATGATAGTTGTCCTATCAGATCAGTTTAGCAATGTCAATCTATATTAAAGAATGAATTTCATTACAGTCTAGTGATACTATTTTAGTTAATTTTATAAATGATTATTCCATTGTAGCATTTTCTCCTTATTTGAAATTTTTACTTTTATTAACCTTTGTTATCTTTTTATAATTCTAGAAATGATTGTTTTTCAAGGACATGGTTTTTGTGGTCAGTGCAATTTATTTTACTATACATGTCCAGGAAGCCAATCAAATGTAAGGCAAGAAATTGTTGTTTGACACAAATTTCTATATTATTCTTATGGTTTTTATCACAATAAACAAACGTTCTAATAACAGTCCTGATTAGTTTCCTTTAGACCTTAAAAAGCCAAATTATTTGATGATTATGAATGATGGAAATCTGGAAATCTTGAAGAAAATCCTGCACTTTTTTCAAAGATTACAATGTGTTTAACTAATTTGTTTTCTAAGTTGAATTATTTTCACAAAATAGTGCATAATAATGAAATTTCATATTGGATATTACTATTTTATTGAAATTGGGTACATGTAATTGTTTAAAAGATTTTAAGCAGTTTTATTTTGGTTGTGTTCATGGAGATTATAATCGTACCCAGCATTAGTGGAAAGGGTATCTCTTGTTAATGTTGTTCAGTGTTGATGGAGATTATAATCGTACCCAGCATTAGTGGAAAGGGTATCTCTTGTTAATGTTGTTCAGTGTTGAATGATATATGTATGTGTTAAATATAGAACCACTTTGTATCTACATGTTTTATACAAAATAATTTCACGTTATTTAATCTAAACATATATTGTACACAGGGAAGACATTTTTGAATAATTTGAATATTGATTTTTACTAATGGTATGTACCTGCTTTTGCACTCTCAAAAGGTGGATTTAGACATTAATATATTGATAGGGTAAAGCTACTTGCTGAAATGGATGTGAATTGATATATTTTAATTTTATTTATTAAAATGATAGTATATGTTATAAAATTAAATCTAAATTATAGAATGAAATATGCATTTCTGATTCTTCGCGAAAAGGCATATTGTTTACTGACCAAATGTAACACTGTTTGGAGATGCAGTTTAGATAATAAATAGATTGATATTTACTTGTAGGATAAGATATCTATACATTGATACAGTCAATCTGGTTTAAAGTAATTCATAAGGAATCTTGACATCTATCAACTGTTACTGTAAACAACACATATATTTCACAGGAATAAAAAGCTTAAAATAATAATTTGTTTCAATTATAACTATAGATTATTTATTATTCCTTTTGAATTTTAGAGTTGGGGTGTGGTCCTTTGGTTTCATTAGATAATATTTAAATGCTTTTCAGTTACATATCAATAAATCTGTTTTACTCTACCAAGGGTAGTTGTTTTTACTCTATCAAGGGTAGTTGATACAGTTTCAAGGGAGATAAATGTCAAAGCTCAATGTCCTGTTGTTACTAGATAATGAAATCAAATCACAGAATAGAAAATCTAAAAAATACAGTTATTCCCTAAATTAGAAAGGAAATGTTTTGTCATTTTTACATGAAACTGGGGAAATATTGGTTTTTGTCAGAATGTATCTCAGCAACTCTACTTTCTTGAATCCATCAAATTTTTGCAGACTTCTTTTTCTCTTTAAAACTATTGATTCAATTGTAAATCTACAAAATGTACGACATATTAAAATGAGGTTAATTTTATAACTATATACAAATGAAAGATATTTGAATTTGCAAAAATAACTAGCTTTAAGAAAATAAAATGTTTTTAGAAGTAAAAAATAATCCATGAATATTCTAAATAAAGACTCAATTGTCATAGATATTTAATACCTTACTCTGACATATATTTTTATTTGTTTTGTTAAATAGTGCAATAAATATAGCAATACTTTACTTATAAATAAAAAAAGATAGATTTTTATAGTGGCAACTTGCAATTAATTTTTAGAAATTAATCCCAGCTGTTAAAAATTGTTTACATCAGTACAATCATCAACTTATTAAATGGATTTAGATTTTGACTGTTTCAAAGTTTACAATAGGTAGGAATGAGGGATGATCTAAAGGTGTCAAAATTTTATGTTCAGTCCCTTTATAAAAAAGTCTCATATAAATGTCTTCACCTAGTTTAGAATCAATATTAAATTATGTAGTAATGCCAATAAATTATAACATGGAATTTTGTTACTTTTGTCTTGGAAGAGGATAACTCAAACAAATGGAAGTTTTTAACGACCTTGACTGGCTATACTAGCCCAGGATAACTCTGTATATACATGTAATATCAGAGCTTTTATTTACAATGTTAATATACCTCTACAGGATATAAGTGTCCCCAGGAACTACTATCATCTTTTATTTGGTATCTGTGATATTTGTCTAGATTTTCAATGGACATTGGTATCATATGATTCAAATAGGACTTATTAATAGCTTGTGGGTGCCCTGTGGTCATCAGCTTGTGTGTGGTCTTAGTAGTCTGGGTGTAACCATTCAATGAATTTAACCCTTACATTTTATCGATGGTTATATCATGTTGGATTTATAGACTTAACCAAATAGTTGATTGATTTGATTGATTATTGTTGTTTAACACCACATTCATAACTCTTGGCTATGTAGTAACGTCCAGATTTTATTGATGGAGGAAGCCAGAGTACCTTGAGAGAACTACGACCTTCAAAAGGAAAACTTGAAATCCTAGTACCATGGCAGGGGGGTAAAAAAAAACCATGGCTAAGAAAAATTTTCAAAACATCTTTGTAGTATTATAACTATGTAAAGGAGTTGTAATAGCTAGATTTTTTGAAATTGGAGGAGTAAAAGGGGGGTCAAAATAACATGGCAAAGTAAAATTTTCAAAACATCTTTTCAAGCATGTTCAATACATACCAACTACTAATTGGAGTATTATAACTATGTAAAGGAGTTAGAATAGCTAGATTTTTTGAAATTGGAGGTCTATAGTAGGGGGTTCAATATAACATGGCATGGGGGTCAAAATACCATGGCTAAGTAAAATTTTCAAAACATCTTTTCCAGCATGTAAAATACATACAAACTACTTAGTGGAGTATTATAACTATGTAAAGGAGTTAGAATAGATAGAATTTTTGAAATTAGAGGTCTATAGTAGGGGGTTCAATATACCATGGCAGGGGGGTCAAAATACCATGGCTAAGTAAAATTTTCGAAACATCTTTTCCAGCATGTTAAATACATACCAACTATTAATTGGAGTAATATTACTGTGTAAAGGAGTTGTAATAGCTAGATTTTTTGAAATTGGAGGAGTAAAAGGGGGTTCAATATACCATGGTATGGGGGTCAAAATACCATGGATAGGTAAAATATTCCAAATATATTTTCCAGCATGTTCAATAGATGTCAACTACTTATCGGAGTATTATTACTATGTAAAGGAGTAAGAATAGTAAGAACTTTTGAAATTGGAGGTGTAAGGGGGGCCAATATACCATGGCAGGGGGGTCAAAATATGATGGCTAGGTAGAATTTTCCAAACATATTTTCCAGCATGTTAAATACATACCAACTACCTATTGGAGTATTATTATTTATCCATGGTATTTTGACCCCCACCCTTTAAGGATGTACACCTCTGAGGAGCCAAAAATTTCTAGAATTAAACTTTTTTTCTTAACCTGATTTTTGGGTTTATGTGACTGTAAAAAAATAATTGGTGAAGAAAAATCATATGTCGGTGCACTTCTTTTTTTGCTACGGCCATTTGAAAGTACCCAGTTCTGATGATTTTCCCATTTTTCATCAATTTTTACCCATTTTTGGGCTAATATCATGAAAAAAATCACAGTTTCACAATTAAACTTTTTTTCATACTTCAATAAAGATGAAGTGGACCAATCTGATTAAATTTAACTTAAAAAAACTATAGCTAGGTGTTAATATAAGAAAGTTTTATTAAATTTTGTTGCTTTTTTGTGTCAAATTTACCATGCTGTCAATTTTGTAAATTTGGGATTTTTCTCTTTTTTTAAAACAAAAAGCATATTATTTCAACTTCTTTGTTATAAATGATTGAAAAAATACATATCTAAGAAATTTGAAAAGAAAAAAATTGATATGGGATGTACATGTTTCTGGTAAAATCATAATTTGTATCCCTCACCCATTTTCTCAACATTTTGGCTAATTACACTGACTTGATTGGTAATAAAATTTGAAAATTTTATTACTCAAAAACTACTTATTGTAAATACACAATTTTTTCACAGAGTTAAGTTTGATTATAATGTTTTTTAAATTCATTGATATTTCCCACTTGTATCACATGTTTTAGAAATCATTCCAGAACGAGAGTTCAACGAGACTGAAACGTCAATAGAATACATCCTTAATCACATCCAATTTCAAAAAAAATGCTATTCTAATTTCTTTACATATTAACAATAATCCAATAAGTAGTATGTACTTAACATGCTGGAAAAGATATTTGGACAATTTTACTTAGCCATGGTATTTTGACCCCCCTTGCCATGGTATATTGGACCTTCTACTATAGACCTAAATCTAGCTATTCTAACTCCTTTACTTAGTTATAATAGTCCAATAAGTAGTTTGTATGTATTTAACATGCTAGAAAAGATGTTTTGAAAATTTTACTTAGCCATGGTATTTTGACCCCCCTTGCCATGGTATATTGGACCTTCTACTATAGACCTCTAATTTCGAAAATTCTAGCTATTCTAACTCCTTTACATAGTTATAATAGTCCAATAAGTAGTTTGTATGTATTTGACATGCTAGAAAAGATGTTTTGAAAATTTTACTTAGTCATGGTATTTTGACCCCCATGCCATGGTATATTGAACCCCCTACTATAGACCTCCAATTTAAAAAATTCTAGCTATTCTAACTCCTTAACATAGTTATAATACTCCAATTAGTAGTTAGTATGTATTCAACATGCTAGAAAAGATGTTTTGAAAATTTTACTTAGCCATGGTATTTTGACCCCCCTGCCATGGTATATTGAACCCCCTACTATAGACCTCTAATTTCAAAAATATCTAGCTATTCTAACTCCTTTGCACAGTAATAATACTCCATTAAGTAGTTTGTATGTATTTAACATGCTGGAAAAGATGTTTAGAAAATTTTCCTTAGCCATGGTATTTTGACCCCCCTGCCATGGTATATTGAACCCCCTACTATAGACCTCTAATTTCAAAAAAATCTAGCTATTTTAACTCCTTTACATAGTTAAAATATACAATAACTAGTATGTATGTATTTAACATGCTGGAAAAAATGTTTTGAAAATTTTACTTAGCCATGGTATTTTGACCCCCTGCCATGGTATATTGAACCCCCTACTATAGACCTCTAATTTCAAAAATTTTTGCTATTCTAACTCCATAACATAGTTATAATAGTCCAATAAGTAGTATGTATGTATGTATGTATTTAACATGCTGGAAAAGATGTTTTGAAAATTTTTCTTAGCCATGGTATTTTGACCCCCCTCCCCCTTTTTAACTATGGGAAATTTAACTCCCTTAATATGTTAGGATTTCAAATAACCAAAGCATTCAAGGTACATGGTCTAGTCATAATGCTTCAATAAGTATTTTGAATGAAATTTTGTTGGTAAAGACTTTAGCATGTTCAGAGCACTTATACCAAGCCATGGTATTTTTTTTTTCCTACCATGGAAAATTTACCTCTCCTTTTGGTATGTCTGATTTTCAATCTATAATAAGCTTTAAAATAATATATAATGTTCTAATAATTATCTAGAATGAAAAAAACAGGGGGGTTCAATTTACCATGAGGAGTCAATTTTCCATACAGGGGGGCAGGTTCAATTTACCATGGGGGAGGGGGGTTCATTTTACCATAGTGGTATTTTGACCCCTGGGTAAATTTTCCATGGGGTTCAAAATACTATATGACACCAGTTTTCAAATTGGTCTACATTAAAGTCCAAAGGGTCCAAAATTAAACTTTGTTTGATTTTAACAAAAATTGAATTCAAGGGGTTCTTTGATATGCTGAATCGACATGTATTAAGATATTTGAATTTGGGCCCAGTTTTCAAGTTTGTCCAAATTGGGGTCCAAATTAAACTTTTTTTGGTTTGATTTCACCAAAAATTGAATATATGGGGTTCTTTAATATGCTGAATCTAACTGTGTATTTAGATTTTGGGGCCTGTTATCAAATTGGGCCACATTGTGGTCCAAAGGGTCCAAAATTAAACTTTGTTTGATTTCATCAAAAATTAAAATTCTTGGGGTTCTATGATAAGCTGAATCTTACTGAATATTTAGATTTTTGATATTGGACCATAATTGGTAAAAGTCCAATTTCAAAATATTCAGTTCTTTGACTACATTTATTCTGTATCAGAAACCTATGATGTGTCAAATATTTAATCACAATCCAAATTCAGAGCTGTATCAATTTGAGTATAGTGTCCATACTTGCCACAACTGTTCAGGGTTTGACCTCTGCGGTCGTATCAAGCTGCACCCCACAGAGCATTTTATTCAGGGTATATTGTTTACTGTCTTTTAAGACCACTTTGTCAAACATCAAATATGTATAGTCATATTGGTTTTACAATTTAAAACTTTCATGTTTTATTTAGATTAATTGGATTTTTATTGAGGTTGCAATAAAAAGGAATATTGATTTCCATGAAATTCTCTCTTGTTTGAAATCATATGTGCCCATTAGGGGTAACATGAAAACAAGTGTTTTCCCTCTGCCAGGTGTGCAGTGGGGAATGAAAAGAAAGGCCATAGTTTCCATTGCTTTGCTATGTGCCAATTGACATTTCATTGGCGCCAAAAAAAATCTTTCATTAGTGCCACAAACCACATTTCATTTGCGCCACAATAATACATTTCATTTGCGCCAATATTTGGCACAAATGAAATACAACCCTGTGGCGCAAATGAAATACTGCATTTTTCAAAAATTGGCGCAAATACAATGCGCCCATAGTGTCATCAGCTCTTGTTAACATTGATTAACATAACACATATATTAATTCAATAATGTAGGAACACTTAGACTCAAACACTGGTCCTTTCCTGACACTGATTTTGTTAACATTTTCAAGTAGGGCATTTGCAAGCTGCGTTTAAGATGTTTAGTGAAGGTAAGTAGTTTTTAGCTCACCTGGCCCACAGGGACATGGCGTCAGTCATCAGCATCTGTTATCATCATCGTAAACTTTTTTCAATGATCTTCTCTGAAACTACAGAACCAATTTCGAGCAAACTTGGGATGAATGATCCTTATGGTATTTAGTATAAAGTTTGTGTTCTTTATTTAGGTCAGTCCACAATCATGGCCACAATGGCTAGAATTAGAACATAGAGGTAAAATGCAGTTTTTGGCTTACATCTCAAAAACAATAAATGGGAAACTGACATGGATAAAAATTATCAGCAGGTCAAGATCTATACATGACGAAATTTTCAGAAAATATAGGACAACCCAATTTTGAGTTATCGCCACTGAAATAATGATTTTTATGAAATTTCTTAGTTTTTGGTTGTTATCTTGAAAACTATCATAGATAAAGAGAAATTTTCGACAGCAAAAATGTTCAGCAAAGTAGGATCTAACAACACATCTAAAATAGTATCTCAATTGATTTATTGGAGTTATTGCCCTTGAAAGACTATTTTGACTAAATTTTTAATAGACAAACAAAGGTTATGGGATATCCATCCATGACACAAAATCAGTACATGCACAGCCAAAAAAAAAAACACACAAAAGGCAAAGGAACAGCACTTTTATTGCTGTTCTTCATCTCAAATTCACAGTGAGGCCTTCAACATGGAGCAAAAAAAACTTTCACCTTAATGCAAGTTTAAGACAGCCCGTAGCACCGGCTTGAGCAGATAGACTTTGTAAGATGTAACATCACCAAATCGGGCCTGGTAAAAAAAGAACATACTGGAAAGTTTTACATATTTAAAATAAAATAGTTCCTACGCATAGGTGTAAATATAAAACTATGTAGAATATATTTTAGTAATTAAGGTATCAGATGAAAGGTGAAGGACTGGTGTTCTTTGTAGAACACGTATTGACTGATAATTTTGAATAATACAAAAATGTATGAATGAATTCTAAAATTAGTTTTTTTCATGAACTATGATAGATAGACAGATATTGTCAACAGCAAAAATTTTCAGCAAAGTAATAACTACAATTAATGACTTGATCCCTTATAGGAGTTATTGCCCTGAAAAGATAATTTTTACAATTTTTTTTAGTTTTTCACAGAAACTATAGTAGATAGAGAGGAAGTCAAACAGCAAAAATGTTCAACAAAGTAAGAGCTATAAATAAGTCAACATGACTGAAATTGTCAATGGATCCCTTATAGGAGTTATTGTCTCTGAACAACAATTTTTACCTTTTTTTTTTAGTTTTTCGCTGAAACTATGATAGATAGATAGAACATTTAAACAGAAAAAAGGTGCAGCAAAGAAAGAGCTACAAATAAGTCAACAAGACCGAAATTGTCAACTGATCCCTTTTAGGAGTTATTGTCCTTGAAAGATATTTTTTACCATTTTTTCCAGTTTTTCGCAGAAAATCTGATAGATAGAGAGAAACTTCAAACAGCATAAATTTTCAGCAAAATAAGATCTAAAAATAAGTCAAACATGACCGAAATTGTCAATGGATCCCGAATAGGAGTTTTTTGTCCTTGAAAGATAATTTTTGCCAATTTCTTTTTAGTTTTTCGCAGAAACTATGATAGATAGACAGAAAATTCAACAAAAAAAAAAGGTTCAGCAAAGTAAGAGCTACAAATAAGTCAACAAGACCGAAATTGTCAATTGATCCTTTACGGGAGTTATTGCCCATGAAATATATTTTTTACCATTTGTTTTAGTTTTTTTTTTCTTCTTAGAAAGTATGATAGAGAGAATCTTTTAAAGGCATGTTTAAACACGTGTTAATATACATTAAACAGCAAAAAAAAATTGATGCAAGATCTACACAAACAATTCCATGTGGGCGATTCAGGCTGTTAGGAGCCTCTTGTTTGATGAGGCCAGTGTTAACCGGATAATATACAAAAAGTGAAAAGAAACACAAATCATGAAAATCATGAAAATAACATCATTGTACTTATATAAATAAATATATACCATGGTATGACAGATTTTAATCTTTGACATATTCAAGCATTTCTCTAGCTGGGACTTATAGGCTCTAGTGTTATATATGGTTAACTTAAATTCAAACAATACTCAATTGCCACCATTGTCCGTCTTTCTACGGATACAGATATACAACTAGGAAAAATCTTTGCTTTTAAGGGGTCTCGGTGGCTAAGTGGTCAAAGTAGCCTTAATCTACTGCAATCACTAGCCTGTCAACACCGAGATTGCTAGTTCGAACCCAGCACGTAGCAGGCGTGTTTGACTTCGATCTTAATCGACTATGATTGCAAGTTTTCCTGCTGAGGTCAGTGGTTCTTTTTGGGAACCCCAGCTTCCTCCACCAATAAAAGCTGGCCTCCACGATATAGCTAAAAGTGCTGACAGGGGTGTTAATGAACCAAACAATCAATCCTACTATTGCTGTTTACATCTTGACATGTGCTTCACCAGATGGTATGATAATCTGAATTTTACAGATTTTAGGCTAACAGTTTTAGAATATTGATGTATGAAATATTGACCAATAGAATCAAATTGTTCTAATTATCTTCATTATATATAATGCTAACATTTTGGTTTGAAGATGATTTTTATATTGTTTACTTAACGTCCAGTGGCAACTACTACATGCATATTCAGAATGTTTTCAAAAATAACCTCTGGTAAAAATACATGGTAATATAACACGAACAGTTAAGCAAATTAACCGCTCCAAAAAATAAGCCCACAAAAGACAGGGAGACTTATTTCAAACAGGTAAAAGTTTTATTCAACGAGGTAAATAAAGACCTAACATTTTTTGGCGTTTGTTTTTGTAGCAGTTCAGTGTTTATGTTGTTCTGTTTTTTTCCTCTTAAAGTTGATGTGTTTCCCTCGGTTTTGGTTTGTGACCCGGATTTGTTTCAGTTAAATCGATTTATGACTATTGAACAGTGGTATACTACTATTGCCTTTATTTATGCATGTGTTATGGTTTTGTCGATTATTACCGTTATCTTGTTACTGGTCCATTGGTCCGTTTGAACAAAAGTATGTTTAAGTTAAAATTAAATTTTTCCAGTCTTTATGTTATTTAAACTAAGGTAAGCTTTGTTTTACCATTTTTATGTGAGGAATGGAAGACAACACCATGGACATCAACAAATACAAAATGAGCGTGATTTTAGCGGCTAGCTAGAGTCGTACATATACATAGTGATTTGTTACACATATATTATATAGCTGTCAACCAAAATCATTCATAGAGATGGCTTCAGCTTTACCATTATTTACCCTTAGTTCACATATGATAGGCGGTTTGACCTTGAAACTTTCATGGTTTGACAACGTTTCAAATGAGTTGTTTTGTCCTAAATTTGATGTATATGGATGTATCACTTGTTTTGTTCTTGCATTGTTTGAAAGATCGAAACAACAATTAAGTTAGGATATTGTTTGAACTTATTGCACAAAATCAATAACATCTTCAAAAATTTCAAATTGTCCCGAAAAGTTTTCAAAACATTCAAGTGTGTTTTTTTTTTTGTAATTTTAATTGCCAATTCTCACAATATAAAGTATTGAGAACATTTGTAAAACTTTTTCCAAATAAAATACCGAGAAAAAAAACAAACTTTTTTTTTTATTTTAGAGTACGTGATAAAATAAAAAGAATCATAATGTTAGTTATACGTCCTTGCTTTGAATCACAAACCAGTTGATTATGAACCTTGACCTTTTAAGTGAACACTTTTCAATCTGAATAGTATAGTTTACTAGTTAATATAATGACTGTCTTTGTAAGGTGGATCTATCCAAAATGCAGATAAAAAATGAACATAATTTGTGTAGTGTAGTTAAAGGCAAAAAATATTCATTAAGTTCACTGAAAGGAATAAACCAATGCCAACATATTTTACGGAAATACAAACTTTTCCGTAAGAAGTTGGGACAGTTCGCTAAGAGGATTGTAATGCCTGTTTTGGCACAGAAAGAAAAGCAGAGAGATGAATTCAAACGTCCCCATGCTATAGTTTGCACAAGACACAGAAATGCATCCTTTAGGAAGGAAGAAGTCGTTCTTGGACGCTTGCTTGGCACAGGGGGTTTTGGATCAGTTTACAGAGGCAAATACAAAGATTCAACTGTGGCCGTGAAAGTAATGCACAGAGTAACGAAAAATCCTGCCGCACAGCTGGAAAGCTTCAAAGCTGAGCTTAACACGATAGGATTCGACCATGAAAATATTGTCAAAACTATCACAGCTACATCTTTGGAAACTTTTGATCAAGGTGCTTGGATCGTTATGGAGTATGCTGGACATCGTACATTGCAAAGTCTTGTAGATGACGATTCCGTTTCCCTAGGACCACGTCGCAGGGTCAAATTTGCTCAACAGATTGCAGAAGCTCTAAAGTATGCACATGATATGAAAATTGTTCATCTGGATTTAAAACCAGCAAACATTCTCATAACTCCGGGTGGCCGATGCAAAGTTGCAGACTTTGGTTGCTCGCAAAAAGTGGAAATTGACACGGGAATTTTCAGTCCAACACAAAGGTCCATATTGACTGGTACTTTTGCTTACAGAGCTCCAGAACTATTAAAAGGTGAAGCTCCGTCTAAAAAGGCAGATATTTATGCATTAGCTGTCATAATGTGGCAATTGTTGAGTCGACAGACTCCATTTAGTAACGAAAACCAACACGTAGTTATTTTTGGTGTGGTAGCATATGGACAGAGACCTAAGCACCCAGAAATTGAGTTTGATCCGTTTGAAGAATCTTATAGAGACCTGTATTCACAGTGTTGGCTACCTTGTCCTTTAGACCGACCAACGGCTGGTGAAATTGCGGAATTGTTGAACATATGGAGAGGTTACATGTAAAGTGTTGTGAAAAGAATATTTTACTTAAAGCACTGAAAACCAAACTAACATTTTGGTGATATTTAAATTTATATGAGATAGAAACAAGATTTAATGTTTTAATGTAAATTTATGTAAATTATCAAGGTTCATATTTTGTCTGAGAGATTTCTTTCGAATGTATAAATGTATATATATATACACACATCTTAATGTACATTCTGTTGATTTATTTTTGTCAGCCTTTATATTTTATGGCTTTGATAGACATTGTACAGTGTAAAGCTTATTTTTTTTACATTAGTTTTCTATTTCTGTACAGAATATTTTTTACAATTGTTTTCTTGTTTTATGTACAGATTATTTTTTACATTTGTTCTCGTTATTTTACATTTGTTATTTTTATTTTGAGAACAGTTGTTTTTACATTTGTTTTCCTTTTAGACAATCACTTGTCATGAACAAAGCTTGGTGTAGAATCCGATAGACCCAGATGTAGATTCAATACTTTTCAATCTTTATATTACTTTAATACGTAAATACTGAGACTAGTCTAGAACATTGGACGCATATTTTCACCAACAACGAACGACATGAAATTTATAGATATATATACAGTTTATTTTGAGATGACAGAAAACCCATTTGCCACTGCCCATTTATGTTCCATGATATAAATGAATTTGTAATTTCCCGCGATTTCTTTCGGTACTTCTCTAGAGAATTTTCTAATTTGGTATTGCAACTATTTACATGGAGAGAAACACGGGTATATAATATAAATATTTATGTAACATATTTAATGCATTTGTACATGGTAGAGAGAGAATATTGTATAACACGAATTTTAGATTGATAACATTTGACTATATTTTAATTTTTAATTACAAGTGTTAACGTTTAATTATCTCCGTTCATATTAGCTTGATCAGAGTCCCTATGTTTAAAAAAAAACAACAACCCATGAACCATGAATTGTCAACATTGTCGATTGTATGGTATAAAGTATAACATTAAAGTTCTTCAGATATTATATTTACATGTATTTTGTTTATATTCTTCTTGTGTGTCCTGTCATGACGATTACAATGTACTTCAAACCTCTAAACCAATACTGCATTAAGGTTTATGACCCCTTCTGTGGCCTGTGAATTATGAACTTTTCAAATTGCAATAGCATCAAAACAGCAAATATAATGAATAATAAAGATGGGTCATTTTGTACATATACCCAGGGGAAACTTCGTGCAAAGCATAATTATTTATACATGTAGTTTCATTGCATTTAATAGAAAAGGGGAATTTGGTGAAAATAAAATCAAGAATTTTGTAGAAAATCCACAGACTTTAATACAGAGATTTTTGTTATAAAATTTGAAACATAGTTTACTCACTTGTTTTTCTATGATCAGCTAGCGTTTATTGTTTACAAAAAGTCCTAAACAACCTTTAAATTCCAAAAAACCTCCTGCTGAGTCACTAAAGTCGAGCGCAGGCTAGAAGGTGTACTTGAATTGGTCCATATTTTTATTTATTTTAACCAATTTCTAAATTTATAAACTTGTTTTAAGGAAATCATTGCTAGCACTGCATACAATAATCCTCTATCTATCAAGTAATGAATTGCCAAATATGAGAGTACAAGGGGAAAGGCTGTGGATTTTCTATAAAATTTCCATGTTTAGCATTGAAGCAACACAAGGGTACATAATCCTTAAGGTTTAGAATTCATCATAACCTTTTGGCTAATATTGCCGTATTTACACTACAAATTTTACTCGTAAGTACAGACAAACCTGTGCACCTGGAAAAGTTTTAAGGCATAGCAGGAACTAGATAATTAAATTTTAAATGCATTTTATGTTTCAAAAATCATAAACTTTTCTGGATTTTGCTATTCATTTATAAGAAGGGCATTCAGGTTGTCATATTTTCCTAAAGACACATCTGGGAAGAGTTTAAGGACCATGAATTGCATGGTTGAACTCCCTGCTGTCGACACAATTCAGCTGCGGCAGTTCTAAAATAGTATGGAGGGTCATATGGGCCATCAAAGAATGGTGGTTGCAATCACGATTACAGGCGGGATTGGGGGCGAAGGGGTTAAATTATCAGAAAACTTTTTACAAGTGAGATTGCCCTTAAATGATGAATTTTACTGATTTTTTAGCTCACCTAGACAAAGGGCCAAGTGAGCTTTTCTCATCCTTGGCGTCCCTCATTCGTTGTCATCTTCGTTCACTTTTTATAAGACCGCAACATTTTTTGCGGTCGTATATTGGTATGACGTTGGCGTCATCCGAAGACACATTGGTTTTCGCACAATAACTTTAGTTTAAGTGTATGAAATTTTATCATAAAGTTCAATACCACAAAAGGAAGGTTTGGATTGATTTTGGGGGTTATGGTACCAACAGTTAAGGAATTAAGGGCCAAAAAGGGGCCAAAAATAAGCATTTTTCTAGTTTCCAGGCAATAACTTGTGGAACGGTGTATGGATCTCTCTGAAATTATACCACAAGTTCCCATACCACAAAGGGATGGTTAGGATTTACTTTGGGGGGTTATGGCTCAAACCGTTTAGGAATTAGGGGCAAAAAAGGGGGGAAAACAAGGGTGTCCCGGTTAATGGACAAATACTTTAGTACAAAACATAATTTAAAGCAGTGTAAGGGAGGTAATTCAAATACATCAACAGCATAGTGTATTGCACAAAAGCAAAAAAAAAGGGGGGGTAAATTTTTTATTTTTTTTTGTGGGGGATGGGGGGGGGGGGGTTAATTCGCAACAGCAAAGTGTATTAATTGCACAAAAGCAAAAAATGAATATAAATTCAAATCATATAACCAATTCCAAGTTCTTCGACTACAGTTATTCTGTGTCAGAAACCTTTTATGTGTCAAATATTTAATTACAATCCAAATTCAGACCTGTATCAAGCACGAATATTGCATCCATTTTTGCCCCAACTGTTCAAGGTTGGACCTCTGCGGTCGTATCCAGCTGCGATCGGCGAAGCAATTTATTGAAAAATCTTCTCCTGAAACTATTATGCCAAATTTAAACAAACTTGGCCACAATCATCATTGGGGTATCTTGTTTAACAAATGTGTCTGATGACCCAGACTGCCAATCAAGATGACGGACATGGCTGAAAACAGATCAAAGAGTTAAATGCAAGTTGTTCCTTTTATTTTGAAATCTGCTATAAATAGAGAAAGTCTTACAGGGCAAAAATGTTCAGAATGTTGAGCTCTACCTATTGTTCATTAACGTCAAAACTGTCAGATGACCTCTTTTAGGAGTTATTGCCCTTAAATGACAATTTTTACCATTTTAATTTTTTTTTACCTATTATCTCAAATAATTTTAATAGATAGACAGAAAATTTAGATAGCAAAAATGATCAGCAAGACAAGATCTACAAAGTAGTCATCATGACCAAAATTGTTAGACGACTCCTTATTAAGAGTTATTACCCTTTAATGAGGAATTTTTACCAATTTATGCGTTATTGCCTATATCTTTAATACTATAATAGATAGATTCTTTAAAAAGTTATATTAACAGTATGAAAGGATCTACAAATAAGTCAACATAGCTGAAATCTTAAGTCGACTCTTTATTAGAGTTATTGCCCTTTAATGATGATTTTCTCCAATTTTTTGCGTTTTAGCTAATATCTTAAAAATGATAAAAGATAGAAACTTTAAAAAGCAAAAATGCAGCAAGACAAGATCTACAAATAAGTCAAATGACCTAAATCATATCTTGACTCCTTATTGAAGTTATTGACCTTTAATGATGATATTTCACATTTTTGCCTATATCTTGAAAATTGTAATAGATGGATGATAACTTTGAATATCATAAATAATCAGCAAGACAAGATCTACAAATAAGCCAAATGGCTGAAATCTTCAGTTGACTAGCTATTGAAGGTATTGCCCTTTAATGATCATTTTTATACGCACGTTTACGGGACGTATTATGGTATACCGTTGTCCGTCTGTCCGTCCGTCGTCAACATGTCGGATATTAACTCAAAAACGCTTTAACCAATTTGCATAAAACTTTGGTGAATTGTTTATATCTATTGACGTGAGCTCCCTTTTGTTTTTTTATAAATTTTAGATTTTACGTTTCCGAGTTATGGGGTTTTATTCATTAAAAAAAGGGGGATTTGCCAGTTTTAGGATAATAACTCAAGAATGCTCTACCAACTTGCAAGAAATTGTGGTGAATTGTTTATATCTATTGACATGAGCTCCCTTTCGATTTTTATATATTTTAGATTTTACGTTTCCAAGTTGCAGGGTTTTATTCATAAAAAAAGGGGGATTTTCCAGTTTTCGGACAAAAAATCAAAAATGCTTTCAGCAGTTCTTATGAAACTTTGGTGAATTGTTTATATCTATTGATGTAAGATCCCTTTAGAATTTTATAAATTTTACATTTTACATTTCTGAGTTATGGGGTTTTATTCATTAAAAAAGGGGGGATTTTCCAGTTTTCAGACAATAACTCAAAAATGCTGTCAGCAATTCTCATGAAACTTTGTTGAATTGTTTATAACTTTTGATGTAAGCTTCCTTTACATTTTCATAAATTTCTAATATGACATTGAGAATTAATTGAACTTTAATTGTTTATAGTCTGACAACAGATTTACTAAGTATTGCGCAACAGCACAGTGTATTGCACAACAGCAAGAAATCTTTAATTGAATATAAATTCAATTCATATAACCAATTTCAAGTTCTTTGACTACATTTATTCAGAAACCTATAATATGTCAAATATTTAATACAATCCATATTCAGACCTGTATCAAGCTTGAACATTGTGTCCATTTTTGCCCCAACTGTTCAGGGTTGGACCTCTGCAGGCGTATCCAGCTGCGCTCAGCGAAGCAGTTTATTAACATTTTTTAACATTTTTTGCCTATTATCTTGAAAACTATAATAGATAAATAGAAACTTTAAAAAGGAAAAAATTATCAGCAGGATAATTTCTTCAAACATGTCAACATGACTGTAATTGTCAGTTAACTCTTTCCAGAGTTATTCTCTTTTAATGATGATTTTTACTAAAAAGTTGTTGAAGATGCCTATTATCTTGGAAACTATACATATAATAGACATGATAAATAGAGAGAAATAGATATAGGAAGATGTGGTATGAGTGCCAATGAGACAACTCTCCATCCAAGTTACAATTTATAAAAGTAAACCATTATAGGTCAAGGTACGGCCTTCAACACGGAGCATTGGCTCACACCGAACAGCAAGCTATAAAGGGCCCCAAAAAATTACTAGTGTAAAACCATTCAAACGGAAAAAACAACGGTCTAATCTATATAGAAACGAGAAACACGTGTGAACTACATAAACAGACGACAACTACTGTAATCAGATTCCTTTATAAATAAAAAAGAAAAATAAGACAAGATCTTATTCTACAAATACGTCAAAATCTTGAAATCTTCAGTTGACTCCACATAGGAGTTATTGCCCTTTAATGTTGATGTTTATCAGTTTTTTGTGTTATTGCCAATTTTAAAAACTAGATTAGATGAATAGATAGAGAGAAACTTTGTATAGCAAAAATGACCCACAAGACAAGATCTACAAATAAATGTCAATATTGCTGAGATTGTTGGTAGTTTTTGTCTTGCTTCGAAAGTCTAAAAGGCAAGACTTAGGTGTGCTGTTTCTGGTGGCGGTGGCTTCATGGACGGTGTCGTCAACAATGTATTAGTTTGTGATTTGGTCAGTTTATGGGGAACCACTTGTGGTATGTGACTTTCAATGGAGATTATTTGGCTCCTCACCCTCAGTCATGCTCTATTGACTTAGAATATTATGTATAGTTTGAATGTTAAACTTTGTGATTAGATAAGTTTAAGATAAACCATTTATATTAAGTCAATGATAGTTGGTATGCAGTTGTATTGGCATAAGCAAGTTTCATTTCCATGGTGTTTATATGGTACCACCCTATCATCATGGTTCATAGACTTTAAAACTTTGCTTATTTTACAAAATTATTTTGTAAGTATGAAAAAGGATCAGCAGGACAAAATCTACTACTTAGTCAGATTGACATCATCAGTTCACTCCTTACATGAGTTATTGCCCTTGAATGATGCAGATACTACTACTAGATTAGAAGATATTTTTACCCATTTCAGAACAAAAAATAATTTTTGTAAGATATTTTTAATATTATATTCTAGTCTTCAAACAAAATGTATGGAATATTATGTATGGTAAGAATGGATCTTCAGATCATTCTGAGAGTGAGGACGAAGGCGAGATAACTCCATCCATTCAGTCTAAAAAACCAGTGCATGAAGTAAAAACCTACAGTGTACTTCCTCCTCCTACAGACTATACCCCAACTGGACCACTGGAAGAAAACAATGGAGAGGGTGAACCATCAGATTCATCATCAAGTTTGTAGAAAAAATATGTAGAAAATCTACATTGTTTATTTCTGATATGTTAATTAATTTTTATACGACCGCAAAAAATTTTTGTGGTCGTATATTGGTATGACGTTGGCGTCGTCGTCGTCGTCCAAAGACACATTGGTTTTCGCACTCTAACTTTAGTTTAAGTGAATGGATCTTTTTGAAATTTGACCATAAGGTTAAATACCACAAAAGGAAGGTTCGGATTGATTTTGGGGGTTATGGTACCAACAGTTAAGGAATTAGGGGCCAAAAAGGGGCCAAAAATAAGCATTTTCTAGTTTCCAGACAATAACTGTGGAACGGTGTATGGATCTCTCTGAAATTATACTACAAGTTTCCATACCACAAAGGGATGGTTAGGATTTGCTTTGGGGGGTTATGGCTCAAACCGTTTAGGAATGAGGGGCAAAAAAGGGGGAAAAACAAGGTTGTCCTGGTTAATGGACAAATACTTTAGTACAAAACATAATTTAAAGCAGTGTAAGGGAGATAAATCAAATACATCATTGAAATTATCTCCCTTACACTGCTTTTAAATTATGTATAAAGTAATGGTTAATGAACAATAAAGATAATTTAAAACAGTGTAAGGGAGGTAATCCAAATACAACGTTTTGGTTACTTCCCTTACACTGCTTTTAAATTATGTTTAAAGAAATACATATTTATAAAGGAAGACCAGTAAAAATATCTGCAAATGTTGCATCTTTTTTTTTTACAAAAAAATCCATATGAAAGATTTGACACTATATTTTTAATTCTATTATAAAATAGATTAAGTTAGCACTATGGTAAATTTAAATGGGTAATTATGGTTGCCAACTCCATTGGAAATTTGAATTGAGATTATGACCATATCTTGAGGGAAAGAATTTTTTTGGGGAAAAAGGGGGGGGGGGATAAAAAGAAATTGTGGGGGGTCAATTTTTTCTCATTTCAGATTTCAGAAATTAAAAAGAATTATTCTTCAAATATTATTTTTTTTTCAAATTTCAAATATTGAAAAATTTCAAGAAGTAGTCTTTAATTGCACAGTATGGCGCATTAGATTTGTAAAATCTTTGATCACATTTATTTATTTGTTATGCCTAATCTAACAGTGAATTTAGATTTTTAATTTTTGGTCCCGTTTTCAAATTGGTCTACATTGAGGTCCAAAGATATTAATTTTTTCAAGTTGGTCCAAGATAGGGTCCAGTATTTAAACTTTGTTTGATTTCAACAAAAATTGAATATATGGGACTCTTTGATATGCTGAATCTAAACATGTATTTAGATTTTTGATTATGGGCCCAGTTTTCAAGTTGGTCCAAATTGGGGTCCAAAATTAAACTTTGTTTGATTTCAACAAAAATTGAATATATGAGGTTCTTTGATATGCTGAATCTAACCATGTATTTAGATTTTTTATTTGTGGGCCCCACTATCAAATTGGTTCATATTGAGGTCAAAAGGGTCTAAAATTAAACTTTGTTTGATTTCATCAAAAATTGAATTATTGGGGTTCTTTGATATGCCAAATCTAACCGTGTTTTTAGATTTTTAATTTGGGTCCCATTTTTTAAAATTGGTCTTCATTGAGGTCCAAAGGGTCCAAAATTAAACTTAGTTTGATTTTAACAAAAATTGAATTCTTAGGGTTCTTTGATATGCTAAATCTAAACATGTGTTTAGATTTTTGATTATGGGCCCAGTTTTCAAGTTGGTCCAAGATAGGGTCCAGTATTTAAACTTTGTTTGATTTCAACAAAAATTGAATATATGGGACTCTTTGATATGCTGAATCTAAACATGTATTTAGATTTTTGATTATGGGCCCAGTTTTCAAGTTGGTCCAAATTGGGGTCCAAAATTAAACTTTGTTTGATTTCAACAAAAATTGAATATATGAGGTTCTTTGATATGCTGAATCTAACCATGTATTTAGATTTTTTATTTGTGGGCCCCGCTATCAAATTGGTTCATATTGAGGTCAAAAGGGTCTAAAATTAAACTTTGTTTGATTTCATCAAAAATTGAATTATTGGGGTTCTTTGATATGCCAAATCTAACCGTGTTTTTAGATTTTTAATTTGGGTCCCATTTTTTAAAATTTGTCTTCATTGAGGTCCAAAGGGTCCAAAATTAAACTTAGTTTGATTTTAACAAAAATTGAATTCTTAGGGTTCTTTGATATGCTAAATCTAAACATGTGTTTAGATTTTTGATTATGGGCCCAGTTTTCAAGTTGGTCCAAGTTGGGGTCCAAAATTAAACCTTTTTTGATTTCAACAAAAATTGAATATATGGGGTTCTTTGATATTCTGAATCTAACCATGAATTTAGATTTTTTATTTGTGGGCCCCGCTATCAAATTGGTTCATATTGAGGTCAAAAGGGTCCAAAATTAAACTTTGTTTGATTTCATCAAAAATTGAATTATTGAATTGGGGTTCTTTGATATTCCTAATCTAACTGTGTATTTAGATTTTTAATTTTAAGTCCCGTTTTTTAAATTGGTCGACATTAAGGTCCAAAGGGTCCAAAATTAAACTTAGTTTGATTTTAGCAAAAATTGAATTATAGGGGTTCTTTGATATGCTGAATCTAAACATGTGTTTAGATTTTTGATTATGGGCCCGGTTTTCAAGTTTGTCCAAGTTGGGGTCCAAAATTAAACTTTGTTTGATTTCAACAAAAATTGAAAATATGGGGTTCTTTGATATGCTGAATCTAACCATGTATTTTGATTTTGGACATTGGACCATAATAGGTAAATTAAAAAAATTCAAGTTCTTAGACCATATTCTTTCTGTGTCAGAAACCTATGCTGTGTCAAATATTTAATAACAATCCAAATTCAGAGCTGTATCAAGCTTGAATGTTGTGTCCATACTTGCCCCAACTGTTCAGGGTTCGACCTCTGCGGTCGTATCAAGCTGCGCCCCAGCGAAGCATTTTATTATGACATGTATGAGTGATAATAATATATTGTATATTCAAATTTATTCTTTGAAAAGTTGAAGAATCATTGAAAATTACTTTCTGCATAGGATTTGCTAATAAAAAAATCATATTTAGAACTTATTTTATGCATACGAGATTGGAAAGAAAAGAAAAGAAAAAATCTCTCCCCCTAAAAAGAAAAAAAAAATGAAATGGTTAAAAAAGGTAGGGGGTATCAAGTTAAATTTTCAGATGTTAAAAATAATGGCCTGTTATGATGTTCTTGAATGTTAAACTTGTTTCCCTGATTTTCATTTATCTATAAGAATTAATGGAATGAAAGGCAATATTTATGTAAAAAATTTTCTATTGGACTTTCCCAAGATATCATTTGTTGTTATGATTCTGTAGTTTTAATTTCAATATCTTACATTTAACAGGCTGTGCCAGTGAAAAGCCAGTAAGAAAAAGGAGTAGGAAAAACAAAAGACACACAGAAAAATGTGATGAGGAAAAATGTCATCAATATGACACAAGTGACAAAAAATTGACAAAGAATCAAAGGAGGAAATTAAAAAAGAAAAGAAGGAAAGATAAGCAGAAAAATGAAGATAAAAGTGTTACATTTTCTTTCATTCCCTCAGAAGATAATCAGAATTCTGCTGAAACAACAAGTAATAATGAAATACAAAATAATGTTGCTGACTTATCAAACTTTTTGGATGCTGTATGGGATGTGTATAAACTTCAAGGTAAAAAACAAGATGTCAGCTGGGTTATGCTTGCCATCATCTGACTGTTCCAAACATTTTATTTCTACTGAAAAATGTTTTATTTCAAGTTTTACTTCTGATTTTTGATTTTATATAAATGTTGCTTCTATAGTTAAATAATTTGGTGAAAAGGGAGTTGGGGATGGGTGGGATATGTTGAAGTTGAAGGTAGTCCCCCACATCTATATATAGAGATCACTTCTCCCTGTTAATGCTTTGGTGTGATTTTTTAAACCAAATCAAAAGATGTGTTTGTCAGTTATTTACAATGAAGGTTTGAAATGTTACATCAAGAGGGAAAGTGTTTATTAATTTTGGTTAAAATCTATCAACCATGCAACCATAGAAATATTGATGAATAACAAAGAGTATTCTCACAGACAATGATAAAGACTGATAATACTGGTATGATGTATGGTCTGAACACTACATACAGCTTATTGTAGAAGAACTTATAGTCAGTTTCAGATTCAGTCCCCCACCCTTTGATTGGAAAATATATAATTTGTAGCATAAAATAATCAAATTTTTTTTAGGTATATATTCAGTTTTCAGGAATTATGCCCTCCCCTTTCAAAAATCCAGGATCTGCTTCTGGTAGCTAGAATCAAGAGGAAGAACTTCAATAAAAGTCCTGTTCCTTTGATTTCCAGTTTTTGTTTCATGGTTATATCATCCAGTCATATCTAATGATCCCATAATCAGGTGATTAACAAATTAAAGAATAAGTTATGGAGGTACACAGTGAAATATTTCGGAAAATGGCTGCTGATTTTATATACTTATTTAAAAAGAATTCAGTCAAATCAAGGATCTGCAAAACTGTTTAAATCCATGTTCAGATGAAAATTAAATTAACACGCTGTTAGTATTTTATTAATAAAAGATGAATTTTGTAAAATATTATTAATCTTTGTTTTCAGATAGAGAAAAATCAGTTGAGCAGCAAGAACTTTTTGATGAATTAAATAAATCACTGAGCTTGTTAGATATTCACGACAAAGAAACTGCAAATCAATTAAACATCATACAAAATATAAAAAGATTAATTTTACTTGGTGATGTGAAGTCTGCAGGGAATTTGATGTCTAGCATGAAATCTGATTGCTGTTTCTTGTCTCCAGGTAAGATCATCATTTAAATCATTTATTTACTCACAAATAAAAAACAGTCGTTATCATAAAATAAAATTGCATAATTTTCTTCATTTAAATGAAAAGTGTACAAATCAATTTTACTCCTGGCTTAGAATTTGCTAATTTCAAACAAAATCTAGACTGATTGTTTTCTGCTATTTCACAATCAAAGATGGCAAAGACCTACTTATACATGTAACCTTAAATCATTTAAATCTAATGTTGGTCAATTAGTCATAATCTCGGCACATCAATTATAAAACTACATGCTAAAACCCTTTTTTACTATTTACTTGGTGTGAGAATGCATGTAGGGGAGTAAAGCAGTGTACCATCAAAATTGGTCAGTCTGCTGTACATTATAACCACTGACTAATATTTAAGAAATAATTCATGGGGGCTTGAATTTATACTGATTTTACCATGGGTTGGCCCTTTATGCTAAATATTTTACCAAAAGCAATAGTGAGGGGTAAAATATCGGCATAAAGGGCAAACCCGTGGTGAAATCAGTATAAATTCAAGCCTCAGATGAATTATTTCTATTCTAATAGGACAAATACGGCAATTCTAATGGATCGAAGCGCTCTAGGTGAAGGCAAATATTTGCCGTTCCCGTAAATAAACACACTGTTATATTGACGTAAAAGAACGGAGTAAACTGAACTAGTGACATGCTTAAACTATTTACAATACCGTATTTAGATAGGTTTGGATGAATTTAAATGATAATCTTACTTATATGTAAAACAAATTGGCTTATAACACATTTTATAATTGTTTGTTTATGTTTCATTGTTTTGATGACTTTCGGTTTCACAATCATGCATTTTCCTGTAAAATGCCTATATTCTTACGTCATGGTTCAACGACGTCGGGTATCTCATTCAGAAAAGAGCATACGACGTGGGAGTATGATCAGAACAGACCAAACAATATATTCATATTTTACCACGGGTGTGTTCTCAAAGCGTTTGAAGAACGTCATATTAGAATAACTTTTAACATTTTAAAATTTTAAATCTCAGATGGTAACTTTAGATACTTTTAACACTAAAATTCAAATTTCTTTTTATAGGAATAAATAGACACCTGGGGTATAAGGCAATGAGACAGCAACCCAATGACACAAATAAGCAAAAGGCATTTAGAGGTCAACATATGGTCTTTAAAAATAGACAAATATCAATGAAATATATTTTAATAACAATTTTATTACAACATATAAGTGATATCAACCCTATTTTATTATAATTATATCAACCCCATTTTAGGATAATTATATCAACCCTATTTTATTCTGCTAAGTACTGAACGTGACCTATTCCCGAATATGGGTGTGAATTTGCATTGCTATACGACGTGTCTCTGTATTTTGTACATCCAACATTCATGTATTTATTTTTCATGTTTCTGTTATGGTTTCGGTTGGATAATGTGTAATGTCTTATCGTTTGTAGTCCAAATAATTATAAAATAGCCTTTCAATACCATCATTGTCATGAAAATTGTTTGGACTGGTATTGTGAAAATAATTGTATAAAGTTGGAGATTGCATGTTCGTTACGTAAGTGCGTCACTGTTTGTGATGTCCTGTGGTGTCTGTCGTTGATGGAAGATGTTCCTTGTTGTTCTGCGGTTTGCATGTTGTGTCGACTATTATATTATTTGTTTGTGCGTTTCTCTGTGATGAGTGTTCTTGCGTGTGTTTGTGCTGTATTTCTGTCACATAGTGTTGTCATTTTAGCGATATTTTTTAACATTGTCTTTTTAGCAGGAGGTTTGGCTAGCCATAAAACCAGGTTGAACCCACCATTTTTTCTTAAAATGTCCTGTACCAAGTCAGGAATATGGCAGTTGTTATCGAATAGTTCGTTTCTATGTATGTTGGTGTTTGTTTTTGTTGCACTTCAGTGTTCCTGTTGTTCCTTTGTTTTCCACTTATGGTTGATGTGTTTCCCTTGGTTTTAGTTTGTAATCGGATTTTTTTTCTCTCAATCGATTTATGACTTTTGAACACCAGTATGCTACTGTTGCCTTTACTTAGGATAATTATATCAACCCTATTTTAGGATAATATATCAACCCTTTTTTAGGATAATTATATCAATCCTATTTTAGGATAATTATATCAACCCTATTTTAGGATAATTATATCAACCCTATTTTAGGATAACTATATCAACCCTATTTTAGGATAATTATATCAACCCTATTTTAGGATAACTATATCAACCCTATTTTATGGTCATTATATCAACCCTATTTTAGGATAATTATATCAACCCTATTTTAGGATAATTATATCAACCCTATTTTAGGATAATTATATCAACCCTATTTTAGGATAACTATATCAACCCTATTTTAGGATAAACCAAACTGTATTCATAGATTGCTTATATTTTTCAGATGTGTTTAATTTTATCATCAGTCTTTTTGAATACTGGATGAAGGATATTAGTGGTAAAGGATGAGATGGACAAACGAATGACAGAATCAGTGATAAAAGAGAACTTCTCAGAAGGTCGAAATAAATGACTACAGTGTCTTAGATGTCAGAGTTAGAAGTTAAATCATGAACTGATGCACTGGAATGGTAGCATTGATCCAGACATGATAGATTATGCAGAGATTTTTTCTAAAATATGGTCATATTATTTATTTATATACAAACTATTGAAATGTCATTTACAAGTTGATATTAGATAAATGTATGGAAACTAGTATGCCTTCATTGCCATACAATATAATGAAAATGTATGATACTGATTACAGTGCATATGACACAAGTTTGTAGAATAATCTTCACCAGGTACATTCAAGGTCAAAAGCTGGGATACAAAAACAGAACAGACAAAAGCATCTCAGGATAACTTTGCCTGAGGGGTTCAGTTTTGATTGATAGTATTATAATACAATACAATACAATACATCTTCTATGTCATTTGGTCTCTTGTGGAGAGTTGTCCCATTGGCAATTATACCATATCTTCTTATTTTTAAATATAAGTTGAAATTGTTTTTAAAGGGATGACTAATTTTAAACAAACAATACATGACAAAAATTAACCATCTACAACTAGATGGAGGAAGTAATTGGACCCTCAGATGCTCACCCTCCCTGTTCAGTGGTCTTAAGTTGGTAGACATTATTCCTTCTATTTTCTACAGAATGATGATTCTACTCCTGCTGTCTGTCCATCCGTCAGTTCGGCAACTCAGCTTTCCATACTTTTTTTCTTCGTTCTTGAAGATATTGATTTGATATTTGGTATATAGTTTTATCATGACAAGTTATAGATCAAGTTCGAATTTTGTTCCGGTCTGATGATTTAGTCCAGAGTTATGGTCCATGAAAAAACTTCATAACTAATGTTAGTGTACTATGTTAAACCATATAATCTGTACAAAGGGAGATAACTCATTTTTTAAAAGACATTCTTTGGTAAATTGTTTGAGGAATTTTGTGGCAGGTTTATATGTTATTTTGTATAAACTTATTTTCTGAATGCTACATGTATATATATATATATATATTTTTATTAAGTGAAATCCTTTAATTAGATAATAATCTATTTTTATTAAGGTATATATTTCATTACATTACATTGTGTAGTTAAAAGTTGTTGACATTTTATAGGTAAGTTACAAATCTATATTAGTTTGTGACAAATGAAAGAAAAAATATTTGGAACTATTAATTATATTTGATTGAAATTTGAAAATAGATATACATTGTATTACATCATATCTAATGTTAGAGTGTTATAGGTTTTCCACACTTTTTTTCATCATGCTTAAAAATATTGATTGACAATTGGTAAATAGTTTTATCATGACAAGTTACAGATCAAGTTCAAATTTTTGTTTATGTCTGATAATTTTGTGCAGAGTTATGGTCCTTGGACTTGAAAAAATTCACTCATATATTCAGTTTTCCACAGTTTTTAGTCATGCTTGAAGATATTGACTTGATATTTTCTTTTTGTTTACACCATGACAAGTTATAGAACAAGTTAGCATTTTGTTCCAGTATAATGAATTTTTACCCGGTAGGGGACTATGTATTGCCATGCAATACTCTCAGAATGCTTGTTAAGGGTGAATTACTACATTTTAGACCAGGAAATGGTGGCAAATAACATTTATTTTTATTTCTTGTATATATTTGTTTTTTTTTAGATGAGTTAAGTTTATGCCCCCACAAGCCTGCAAAAACGTTTTATTTGTAGATTGTAAACAGGGCTGTGGAAAGAAATGCAGATAACGCAAGTTTCATATTGCTTGTTTGTTTCTAGCAATACTTTCGCTCTTTAAATATTTGTTATGACTTTTGTTATGACAATTTGTGCAACACGTTTTAAACATTGCCATTAATATTTTATGGGGATAGGCAGCTAATCTGTAGATTTATTTATTTGAAATATTTTTGAAAGATTGTGGTTGTTCAAAGATGTTTTTTTGTCTAACAATCCTCAGTGTATGAAATCGATAAAAAGATGAACAAATCACAATAAACTAATTTTATGACACTTACTTAGTCGAATCTGAGGTCGGACAATTCAGTGTTATCGATTCACAATACATTGATATGCCCAGAGTGCTTGAATAGAAGAAATGAAAGTTAACACCTGCTATATGGACTACAAAAGAGAGGCGGAGGATACCAAAGGGATAGTCAAACTCATAAGTCAAAAACTAACTGACAGTACCATGTCAAAAAACGACCAAAACACAAACAACAGTCTACAAAACACATCACAGAAAACTAAAAACTGAGCAACACGAACCCCTGCAAAAACCTTGGGTGATCGCATATGCTCTGGAAGGGTAAGCAGATCCTGCGCTGCACATGTGGCACCCGTCGTGTTTCTCATGTAAGTACAAACCCGGGTGATAAGTCTAATTCTGTAGGTCCCATCCAGGACGGGGCTGTGGTCACGACAATTGGAACATATCAGTCGTCATCTGTGTAACAGATATTCCATAACAGTCAAACAAGTCGTCCGTAAAAACTCGGGATGAACTCTTTATTTTGATCGCTTCCTTGTAAGCAGCAATCCTCTAGCAAGGAAGTCTTTACAGGAAATGAAAGCACTGGAATACCGTATCAACTGAGAGATATATACTCCACATGCAGGCGCTGCTCGAATGTAATTGTTGATACATAGAAATGGAAGTTTACAATTCGAAAGCTGGAATCATTTCTTTTGTCGTAAAGATGTGTTATTAACCTACCCTCATTGTCAAATTATAGATGTAAGTCAAAATATGAGGAAGACTTAACTGTATCTGTCCTTTATTTGAAGTTCGATGGGATAGATGCGTTCAACAAAGTCACTAAACTTTGTATTATTCAGTGAAAGGACATCATCTATATAGTGGAACGTGATGTTAAAGCATAATGCTGGCTTCTTTCTATTTTTCCTTAGAAGCTCCTGTATGAAGTCGGCAAGAAGAAAAGCACAGTTGGTTCCCTTGGAAATACCGATTGTCTGTTGTTGGAAGAGACAATTTCTCATATTTGGTTGAAATTCTAAAGGAACATAGAACCGACCTTTGATATTTCAGGATTTCTTCTTTGGTAAATGTCGTGGTGGTTTATGTTGAGTTTCCAAGTGAATTGTCAATACTTAATTCCGTTATCAAACAATTTATATAATGTGATTTGCACATAAATTAGATGGTATTTGGGGCTTTATAAGCAGGGACAACAACTTATCTGTCACGGAGGTAGGACAGCAATCTAATTAAAAGATAGAACTCTGATTTCGTTATCTTCATAAGATATTTTTGATACAGTCGGTACCTTTCAATTAACCTCATTCAAGTTTATGTTCTGCGTGCACTGTTCACTTTCGATTACTCGAATTCTGATAGGTTGAAAAGCCACCAGTGAAATCCTTCAGAAGTGAAACCATATACGCATCGGTGTTAGCTCTCTTATGGAGATAACGAAATTAGAGTTCTATATTTTATTTAGTTTGGTAGGACAGGAACTTAACTACATTTGGGTCTTAATAGATGTGTATTCATAGATCCATTCAGTTTTTTGTCTCGCGACGGAGTCGAAAAATCGACTTTGGCGTGCTGCGTCAGCAATGTATTAGTTTGTGATTAGGTCAGTTAATGGCCAACCACTAGTGGTAGGTCATTGGTATTATGTATGCAGTTGAACTAGCATTGGCAAATCTCATTTCCATAGAGATTATTTTGCCCCGCCCCGTCAGTCATGGTCTACTAGTGGTAGGTCATTGGTATTATGTATGCAGTTGAACTAGCATTGGTAAATCTCATTTCCATAGAGATTATTTTGCCCTGCCCCGTCAGTCATGGTCTACTGACTTTGAAACTTTTGGTGTATTTACATGTTAAAGTTCGTGATTAAGTCAGTTTAAGGGGAACCATTAGTGGTAGGACAGTGATATTTGGTATGAAGTTGTATAAGCATTGGCTCGTCTCATTTCCATGGAAATTATTTACATAGTTTACAAGTAAAAGTTGTTGTATAGGTTAATTTAAAGGGAACCAATGGTATTTGGTATGCAGTTTTATAAGCATGTGCATTTCTCATTTGGCTCTGCACCTTCAGCGATGGTTCATTGACTTTGAATGATTTGTGTATTTTACATGTTTAAATATTGCCATTTTAATTTCAACATTTGTATTTTACTTTCAAAATAACAAAACGCGAGACATATTCCTATGTCAGCAGTTTATTTTAATTCTAATTTGTATCCACGTCCTTACAGCTTTAACCCTTTCGGAAAAAATATCTACGTCTTCTTTTTCTTTTTTATATTATCCTCCACTGAATCTTTCAGTATTTTGAAGTTATGTTTCTAATTGATGGGTTTGGGCTCACGATATATCGGGCCTCTGGATAACAAATTTCGCAGAGAGGGGTTATTGACAATGCTCAGGTCACCAGTTATAACGTGGACAGCCGGATTATATATGAATGGGTAACTAGTAAAGGTTCAATAGGTCGGTTTAGACTTGAAGTCGTCAATATTGAGATTCTGCTACACGTTTTTGTAATTGAAAATTTTAGTCGCTGTGGTTTGGTATAGGTATAAATATTAGCAACCTGATCTTAAAAATTAGGGAGTATTTTCGAACGAACTGATTTATGAAGTATATTGCCAATTTGATAAGGTCTGTTCTATCTTCCTTTAGAATTTCAACCAAAGATGAAGAACTGGATCTTCCTTCACTGTATTGGATACCTAACTACATAAGTGTCCTTACAATTCGAGGATTATGCCAGGCAATGGGTTAAACGCGAGAAGGAAGACGAAGATACAATTTCCGATTTGATTAAGGCTGTGAGGTCGTTGATACAAATCAGAATTAAAAATCTGAATGGGTCTATGAATATCTATGCTACATAAATCTTTTAAGACCCAAATGTTGCATAACACCTGTCCCACCTCAATGACAAATATGTTGTTGTCCTCGCAGATAAAGCCCCTAACAACATCGTTTTTGTGTGTAAATCACATTACATAAACTGCTTGATAAATGGATTAGGTATTGACTATTCACATGGAAACTCAACATATACCCCCGAAACTTACCAAGAAGGAAATCCTGGATAATCATAGGTCTGTTCTATGTTCCTTCCGAATTTCAACCAAAGATGAAGAACTGGATCTTCCTTCACTGTATTGGATACCTAAACTACACAAGTGTTCTTACAAACAACTTTATATTGCTGGGTCTTCCAAGTGCTCCACGAAACCTCCTTCTAAATTATTAACATCAATTTTATCAGCAATCAAATCGAGATAGTCTTTTACTGATGTTCAAATCTCGTAAATCGATAAAGAAGAGACAAACGAAGGTTACAAACAACACCTACACATCTTATCGGTCAACCAATGTATGATGATGACGGTAAAACCTGTGTAGTGTCAATTTATGTCATTCTTTCTCTTAAATCTGTCGGAGAAGTTTTCGTGTAAGGAGCACAACCTTGTTAACGTAGTCCGTATTGTATTAACATTCACGAGAGTAACGTATCATCTGAGATATGTAAACAAAAACGACACAACGGTCGTATTATCCTGCGGATAAAAGGGAAGTTAACAATTGGAAAGTTAAAATCATCAAGTTTGACATAGATTCTAGTTTGAAGTCGTACCCCTGTGTCACATATCAAGGAATGGATCAGTATATGAAGCAGATCTTTTACTTTCGGCAGTATCCTTAATATCAAGTTCACCTGGATATATGAGATGTAAGCACTCAGTTAAATGTGGGTAATTCAACGACAGGACATCACCAATATATCTAAAAGTGAATTAAAGTTTTTTGCAAGATGCCTTTCTTTTTTTTCTTTGAGAAGGTTTTGTAAGAATTTAACTTAAGATGAGCACAGAAACAAATCGGCCAGTAGTGGTGCACAATAAGTACCATTGGAATACCGTGCTTTGGCTGAAATATTAATCCACTAAACTCAACAAATATGTTGTCGATCAAAACGGCCACCATTTTGTCGATACCATCTTCGGCGTATTTGTTGTGGGAATCAGTGTGGGTTTTAAAAAAAGTAATCATGCCAGCGCTTTCATCGTTACAATTTTTGAAGGAAGCTTTCATTTTTTTTATGAAAAAGTAAAATAAAAAATTTCTGTATCGTATTCCTGCCAAGTGCTTAAAACCATTATTCAAGTTATTTCCTTGGAATTATGAATTATGTACATAAATAAGCTTGGAATCACTCCGATCCTTTTAATTTTGTTAAAATTTATATGAAAGATTTATATTAATAATTATGTCGGTTGAGATCAAGAACTATGGCCCTTTCAAATAAGAACTATTTGAATAAATGCATAATAGGCGTTCTCACCGTGACAAATTTAGTTGGTTTTATGAAAAAAAGATGCAAGTTTTATCTTTACAATCGGTGTCTCATTGAAATTCAAAATGTTTGTCATTTGAAATTTTGTATGGGAGTTTAGGTTATGCTTATATTTATGAAAATGTTGGAAATGAACCTTTACTTCAAGTACTATTCATGCAGTTATGTTCCACGATTTGATTCAATTCTGATTGCAGAATCTAGTAATTTCTGTCATTATGCATGTAACAATTTGCGCGTAGCGTATCCATTTATTACCCCTTGGGGCGGGGACATTTGAACGCTAGTCTTTGGGATGAATGAAAGTATATAGCATGTATAAGTAATCGGTAATTTAGCTCAATAAAAGATAAAAAAATCAAATAAATATAAACTGACTTAAAATCATGACACCCTTTTGATTCTTTAATGCACATCTAAATAACAAGAATGTGATTTGAAAAAGAAGACAATTAAAAGATCCATCTTGTTAACAACTTAGTAAATGTTTTCGTTTTTCCGAAATCACTTTGATAAATTCGAAATGTTGTTGTCTACATAGTTTTGCAGCGAACGTGGTGATTGACATTAAATTTTGTTAAAATTTCAATTTAAGTCGTTTAAATCGATTTATGAAAAGTCAATATTCGGCTTAAAGTGTATCAATTAACAACTAGGAGCATTCGA